AAGAACACTCGCGCATACCAATCCAGGGATCAGGTTATGTTGCTGAATCACTAGTGGGATACCATCGGCCACTTTTCAATCTCAGCGTCACTCACAAAACCCTACACACTAGACATTTAATTTAGCCAAGTACTTAATTGTTTCATGGCTTTAAGTTAGTCATGTCCAAAGTCAGGCCTGGGGGGCAATTGTGGCCCACAGACCTTTTTTAACCGGCCCTGGCTTGCCTTTTAAAATTACACAATATTGGATTATAAAGCAGTATTGCTTTTTTTATTCACCTTAAGTTGGCAGGACTATCATACAGTTTGCATACATGCACCCGAGCTACACAGGCGGAACTAATGTGTTTTCATAGACAGAAGGTTAACAAACAGAGGGAGAGTTAAGGTGAAACACACCGCTGTTCGTTAACGGACGACCACACAAAGTTAATACTACTTTTACTGATATATATCTGTACCTCCTCCACCTCTGCGCTAGCTTAAAATCATGTGTGGAGAGCCCCTAATTAAACTTTCCTCACCTGTAGAGCCAAATCTCCAGAGCTGTGACTCACCTGGTAATAACGTTTTGGCCATTGTCGTTATAATGACGTCACTGTGGGTCGTTTAGCTCGGGATATATTTCTCCACCTCAACAAGAAGTCTCTCGTCATCCAGTCTTTGTCACACACTAGACAGCAACACCTACAGAGGTCTCTTAACGCATCCATGGTGAGGAGAGGACTGGAGGCGCCACAGGTGCAGAGAAGAAGAACTGCTACGGGAGCCGGTGTGTACAAACAGAGTGCGAGTGGCCTTTAGGCGACCTGCCAGATACTGCTTGTTAGGTGGGAAACATGGCCACAGCAAAAATTCTACAGTCAAGAGCGAGGGCAGCTGCTTTTAGGAGTGGTGGGAAGTCATATATTTTCTCACTACTATTTCTGTCATTTGTAAGAGCATTTTTTAATAACCATGTGATGCAAAATGCAGCTGGCCCCCAGGTAATTTCACATTATCTAATCTGTTCCTCACTGAAAAATAGTTTGGACACCCCTGAATTAAATTCTTCCTCCTCCAATTTTCTTTGGTCCAATGTGAAGTAGAAAAATATTAGGTTTGAAACTGGAGATGGATCTGGTGTACCTCATCCTCCCAAGCAGATATGTAACATCAAAAAACAAGGAGAGATTGTACTGTATTCTTACTTGTGCTGCAAGGGAGGACATTTTATTGCAGTGGATTAATTAAGAAGTACCAACTGTTAAAGGCTAACAGAGAATAGGTTCTCTTGTATATTACATTTAAAGGTTTAATATTTCATAACCTCAAAGCACTTCACCACAGCAGCGTAGCTGACACAAACTTTTCACAACCCTGCCTACAGTGATATTCAGAACTTTTGATGTGCCAGAATATATTAGCAAGGACTCCAGAAACCACGTCATATTTTTATTCCTTAATAAAATAGATAAAAAAATAAATAATAATAATAATACCCTTATTTGACTGGGTAGGCCTGTGATCGATCAGGCTAGATTTAGGCCTATCTACTACATGACCCCTGGGGGGCTCCTCCTAATACGTAATGTTTTAGTGCCTTATAAGCTTTCAGACTCGTGGGTGTATTACTCATACTGTCTTCCTGTGCTATATGTAATTGTCAGAACCTGGAAAAAAAAAACACACACACACATCCATGTCAACGTTTTGTTTCAGTTTTGCTTTATGTTTATTTTTTTTTTTGTTTGTTTTTTTCATGTTGTCCCTGAGCCCCCACACTTTAGGACCACTCCTCCTGCTTGGGATCTTCACCACTTTTGCTCCTGGTGTCATACTACTTTCTTGATGTGTAAAATCTTCTACTCTTGGTCAGTCTGCATTTTGATGACTCATAGAATAAACTCATTTAGCCTCGTTTGATCTCATTCTAATACATGTTTAACGCAACATAAAACTGACGTCAGAGAAGATCCTGGTACAGCATGTACGCATGGACGCAGCCATACCAAACACTTAAAGAAACAGGATGATGATTCAACCTTGTTAAGTATATTTTACACGGCACATAGAGTCTCATCGTATAACTTTAAAACACCCTGGAGCCTCAGTCAAGGACTCTGAGGCCTTCCAAAATACCAAACCATGACAATGGATAAATTATACATTCATACAGTAACTATTATACATGATGACGCCACTTTCATATTTAATAATTTCCCATGACACTTGTCATTTTGCACTGAAAGTAAAAAGGCTCATTAAGAAGCATATTAATCCCCTTACAGTTATCTATCACATGCCATAAAGTCCATTTCGTAGCTGGGGGGCTTTTGATCAGATCATATGATCTAAGTGGTGCAAGGTAGTTACAACGGGCCCCCAATGCACAGTATTATGACGGGCACTTAGGCACACTAGTTACATGCTTTGCTCCTAAACTCACTACTTTATAATCTTATCGTCGCATGATCACATGACCCAGAAATCATCATCACATATACGTACAGGACAAAAACACAGAAATAGGGACTTATTTGTTTCATTTCACAGTTTTTGTACCTTTTTTATAATTTATGTAGAGTAAGCATATATTTTATAACATTTTTTTAGATTGCTACCGGCTATTTTACAAAAAAACAACCATTATTCCATCTATGACAACACTCAGTCTGTCCATCCTCACCTGACACAACACACATTTAATTTACTGACTAATTGTAGTCCACATTCCTGGCAGAGGCCGAGCACGGCGTGTTTGCGTGGCTGTTTCTCCTCCATTGTGAGGGTGTGATTATTGGAAATTATTCAAAAGGAAACTCCTAATGAACAGCAGTGGTTTAGCAGGTTAAACAACAGGGAATTATGACATTACAGTTTCACTATGACCTGTTAACAGGTTCAATTATTACAACACACAATTACTACTTCTGTTCCTATACTTCTTCGACATTAACATATATAACAACAACTGTCTGACACACAATAGCTGCTGTCTGTGCCATCGTGGAGACGGACAGGCATTCCAATCGTTTTCTAAATGGCCTCTATTGAGATGATGCATTTTGTCCACGAGCCTGTTGACACAAATCAGCTGTCATAAACGGCACCCTGCTCAAAATCTATTTTAGTCTGCTCAGCAAAAAGTGACCCAGTTTTTGTTTTTGTTTTTTTTGTTGGTTTCAGTTTGTCACAGATGGCCTTTAAACAGTTGCTGTCATATTTTTTGTCATTTGTTTTTTATATTTAAGGTATGAAATGGCAGACACAGAGTCTGGATGACTAATGGAGCAAACATCCAGCTGCCCCAGCGCCCAAAAATTCCAGTGGCGCCAGGTTTTATATGTGTAAACTTGTTTTTAACTCATTTAAATGAATATGTGTTTGTGAATATGCACCACTAAACCACAGCTGCATGAGGGCCGTAAGATGAGACCTGCTGTATGGCACAATCCTTGTATACAGCAGTGGCCTAGGTAGAAAAAGACATTTGTGCAGGCCTGTGCCTTTGTTTTCATCCCATCCATCCATCCATTTTCATCCGCTTATCCGGGCCGGGTCGTGGGGCAGCAGGCCAAGCAAAGCACCCCAGACATCCCTCTCCCCGGCAACACTTTCCAGCTCCTCCTGGGGGACCCCAAGGCGTTCCCAGGCCAGACGAGATACATAATCCCTCCAGCATGTTCTGGGTCTGCCCCAGGGCCTCCTACCAGTGGGATGCGAAGGAGCAGCGGCTCTACTCCGAGCTCCTTACCCTATCTCTAAGGCTGAGCCCAGCCACCCTACAGAGGAAACTCATTTCCACCGCTTGTATCCACAATCCCATGCTTTTGGTCACTACCCAGAATTCATGACCATCGGTGAGGGTTGGGATGTAGATGGACGTGTAAATTGAAAACTTTGCTTTCTGGCTCAGCTCCCTTTTCACCACGACGGACCGGCACAGTGCCCGCATCACTGCAGAAGCCACACCGACCCACCGACAATTAATTTGATACAATCCTATCTATAAGATAAGTTAAGATAAGATAAAATAAACTTTATTGATCCCACACTTGGGAAATTCACATCACAGCAGCTCAAAGCACAGACAGAAAATGGAGGGTGGCAATGTATACTTAGATTAAAAAAAAAAAAGATTGAAAAATAGAAAATATGTATACAGTATATGTATATAAATATATGTACATATCTTTCTGGATTAGAAATAGATGAAAAATATATATAAAAAAAGTAAGGCAGTAAAGTGACTATAGGTCTATACTATAGGTCTATAAGTCTCCATCTACATCAGTGGCAAGATAGGTATCTGTACAGGTATCCATCCATCTGTTAGTCTATCACTGATGTTCAGTGGTTGGACCATTAGATGTAGCTACACAGATTGAGTAACCTATCAAAGGATCAACCCTGTGTAACCACATAAAAAGTCCATGCTACAATTCAGCCCGTGTTAGGCTGTGCCCTGTGCCCCCCTAGTTGGAGGGCCCCACTGCAACTGCCCTGCCTGCACCGGCTATGTTTACACCCCTGCATGATCTTCATCAGCTGATGGGAGTGTGCCAGCTGCCATCTAACTGTAGGTACTCAGATTTCTAGTTCTTCTAAGCACTTTAAGATTTTTTTGTTAATGTTGGATTCAAGTTTAGTGAGAAAAAAATATTGAAATATTTAGTCCCATGGCAACTCATGGCACGATCAGAAGCTCCAGAAGTGTCATTTAATGGACATCAGGTGAGATAGTCAACTTGTGTTTTACAGGATCAAGATGAAATTTGAAGATCTGCAGCACCCAGAGTGCGCAGCTGCGTTTTTAAATCAAACACTGAACCGCCAAATACGAGTTTGATTTTGTTGAGAGCTGTAGGAGGAGTCGGTTTCCATCATCTCACAGCAGCAGCAACAGCGAGGAGGAGGAGCAGAAAAGAAATGTGCTGCCTCTGCTGTCAAAAGCAGCCGAAACGGCGCATGCGCACGATCGTGCTGCAGCACAGACATTCAATGACGTCACCCATTCAAAACACCAAACAAGCCCAGACACACACCGACTGATCGCTGGACAGGCGATGCACGGTTTACTCAGCAGACCCACGCAACCTGTGGACTGGACACGCTGACAAGCCGCGGACGGCTGAAGAGCGACCTCCAGACATCAACACCGAGTCGTGATTATTCCACACGCGCTCTCCGGCGTGTTTTTAAAGCCGTATTTTTGTTCCTCAAACAGCCATCATCGGACTACCTGTCAAAACGACTGAGTGACATATTCACGGACGTGATCGCTGCAGAATGTTGGAGGAGATAGTGCCCACGGTGGATGATTTGACAACAGCCGCAGCGCGGGGAGACAGTAACCGTGTGGACACTCTCCTGTGGGCAGGAGTTGATCCTAACGGGTGCAACGTTTTTGGAAGAACCGCTCTGCAGGTCAGTCACCAGATGCGCTTTGACGGCTTATTAAGGCATCATTTTCGCACTAAAACATCATAAACCTCTTGGGGAGACATTTTCAACCAGGCTATGGGCAAGATATTTTTCTTTATTCACCTCAAAATGACGCGCAGTCGCCATTCTTTGTAGTAATCAAACTTCGGCTCACTTTTATTGAGAAAAAAACATTCCAGTTTCTTCCTAATGCAATTTCTCATCAAGATAAATACAACTATAAGTGTATATGTTGCCTTAGACAGCAGATTGTTGCTACTTTGTTGTCTATTACGTATTTTGGCACGGCACTGCTTTTACGCACGCCAAAAAACAAGCCTGTAGTTGCAAAAGCAGAGCATATTGTTATTATAATAAACCCCCCACTTCTTAATAACTCACTCACCTATTCCCACAAAAATAAGTCTCATCTACGTGGGTTAGGGCCCTCTATAATATAGGTTATCACAATAACAAATGAGCTGAATTAACACCATATAACACCTGCTACTGATAACCAGAATTACCAAGAAAATTAGAAATATTGTCGTCTATTTAGGCTATTTTTTTTTTTTTAAAAAAAAAGTCTGGCGCCATTGTGTCATAATTTGCAGCAACCGAGATTACAGTGAGCGAAAACACAACTCTCCTTTCGTCTCACGTGAGGTTATGGATTATAATTTCTCTTTAAGATAAAAGAAAACGAAACTAAATGAGCTCTTAAAGGCTGCTCAGGTTTTTTATTGTGTTGTTTAGGTGCGTTAAAGTGGCTCATCATTCTCCTATTTCCACTTAGAATTATGACTTCAGATAAATTAAATTTTAGCCCATGTGGGAAAATATGTCATATAGTCTAATATCTCCAGCGTCAGTTAACAGAGTTCTTAATTGTAATATAATATGCCAAATATATGTTCAAATCTAAAAAAAAAAAAAAATGTGTGTAATAATCGAATAGTCTTTTAGGGGCAGTGTGGTTTTATTAAATTGCAGGTCAAACTCCACACTCTGCTCCTTGTGCTCTTCTAGTAAATATATAAATGATTGATTTGTAAATGGTTTTATAGGCATTATCAAACCTAATTAGCCTCTATATCCTTATGAAGGTGATGATGATGGGCAGCACGACGGTGGCTCGGTCGTTACTCAGGGCAGGAGCTGATCCCAACTTGAAGGACATCAGCACAGGGGCCACGCCGCTGCACGACGCGGCCAGGACGGGCTTTTTGGACACTGTGAAGGCGCTGGTGGAGCACGGGGCTGACATCCAGGCCAGGGACAATGCGGACCGGCGGCCTATCGATTTGGCCACAGAGAATGAACACTCATCTACAGCTGATTATCTGACGTCTCTGGAAAACCCTCAGTGATGCTTGGTCTGATAGACTCGGGGCTCAGAGAGTCGGGGCCTGAGGAGGCCTCCAATATGACTTATTACACAGAGGCGGATTTGCTGTAAATATTTTTTATTTATTTGTCTGTTTCTTTGCTAAAATAGTTGCATTATTTTATTTTTAACGAAATCGGCTTTATCACGCAGGGTCGCTGTTCTGAAAGAGCACAATATTGTTATAAAGATATAAAGCCAGGCTGGTCGGGATATTATGTTTACAGACACATACACACAATTTGTTGCTGGTTTATCTTCCGTTTTGTAAATAGATTATTCCCAATAAGCCTCTAAGGAGTCCCCATCTGTGCAGTGTACAGTTTTACTTTAATATGTCTAAAGTAAATTGTTTTTTAAAAATATTATTATTGTCGCTCCTCGTCGTAAAAGTGGTGGGATTACTGTATTTTAAATATCTTTTAATTTTAAGTATTTAACCAAATAGCAGAAAAGCCATTTCAAAATGTTTTTGCACATTGAATATTAGTGTCTCACCGTCGATGCACTATTCTGTATGCGTTATCTTTATCCTCCCCTTCCTGTTTGTGCAAATTATATTCACAACTCGCATATTATGCACTTTAATAATATGGAAAATGTAAATAAACTTTTAAAGTATGAAGCAGATTGGAAGTATTATGATTATGCTTCACATATTGTCTTAAGGTGGGGTTGTGAAAGGTACCAGAAAATAAAATGATTTTAAAACCTATAAAGCCATTATTATTATTATTAGTATTAGTATTAGTATTAGTATTTGACGTTGCATTTGAGTTCAGCTGGGAGTTTTCCATTGTCTCCATAACTATTCACAGGCCAAACGAGCAATATGTCACTGCAGGACGAACATTTTTACAAGTTAGCCGACTTCCCCTTTGCCTCTGCTAAACTGGTTTTTAAGAATATTGACACAGTCACATCACACACATTGCGCATGTAAATACTGATCATGTTATAATCTCCGGCCTCAGGTGACTGCACAGTTAAACACGCCATCCAGAACAATAATGTTGCAATCATTTATTTATTTAAGTGAAAAGTTTGAGGCGATGTTTTCAGCTCACATGGACATATTTTAAATATAGGATATATGTGACAGAATCTGGTTGACTTGCACCAATTAAGTAGATTTTTGTGCACATTAATGATGCGTAAAAGTAGGTTATAGTTGAATTAATACTGTGTAAAAAGACCATATATATATATATATATATATATATATATATATATATGGTCTCTTTATATATATCTATATATATATATATATATCTTATATATATATCTTTATATATATTCTGGATACACAAACATGACGCATAAGCTCTGCATCGTTTTGGAGAGTTAATCAGCCTAGTTCTGTTCAAGCCCGGCGGTTTTAATGGCTTTATGCAACCAAAGTGAGGTTTGGCAACACAGAAAAATCCCCTAAACTACGAAGGGCTTAACACACTGTTGTTGTTGTTGTTGAAACATGTACCTATGGGTCCAGTATGCAGGAATTAAAATGGTAAACTGACTTTGTTTCAACAGTAAATTCAGTCCATCACATGTCAATCAGGAAGCTGATTTAAGATTTAAATTATCAAATGAGATTATTGAAAAAAAAATGCTTTAAAACCAGAAATTCAAATCTGAACTCTAAATTCCTGAAGATATAAATGCACCATGGCAGCCCCAGGATACTGTCTGTGCTAATCCTGAGGTGAGATCTTTTTATAATTCTTTCACTAGCCTCAAGAGTATCCCTCCCTGCATTTCAGGGCATAGTGCAAGCATGTGACTAAAAAATAAACCCCTGCTTCAAAACTGCAGATTGTAAGACATATTTTACTCAGGTCAAGTTGCTTTGATATTTAAATTATTTTCTTACAACTTTATCTTCAAATCTCCACTTTTTATTGAGGTCATTTATGCAGCAGGAGCCATTCATATTGTTCAGACGAGGCAACAAAGAGGAAATACGAGGTACCAGATATTTTTAGATATGTGTACTGTGATGCACATATCAGGTGCAGCAAATGCAGAGAAGGGAGAAGACAAACATGCTTTTGATTGCTGATGATTTTTACAGTATATCAAAGATTTTAAGTGTGTAAAAAAACTGTCAGTGTCAGTAAATAGTTTGGTCAGTTCCTCAAAAGGACTCTTTATACTGTCAGTTAGCTGATTTATTGACAACTGGGAAACAGTTTGCATGTACAGTACAGATCCTGGACTATATATAAACTGGATGTTGTTGGGTTTTAATTCATGAAACATTTAAAACAGTTACTTACACACACACAGAGAGAGAGAGAGAGAGAGAGAGAGAGAGAGAGAGAGAGAGAGAGAGAGAGAGAGAGAGAGAGAGAGAGAGAGAGAGAGAGAGAGAGAGAGAGAAAGCATTTCTGAAAATATAAAGATACAAACATTTCCGGTATTTATAACAAGACACAATCTTGCTGAAGTGTATCCAGGCATTTTAAAGATTATACTCGAGTACATCTGATACATTCGAGACATGTATTATTCATGTGTTATATTAGTCGTACCTAAGGCTGTAATAAAGTATTCATGTGCTAAACTTTCAAAGCATTTTTATTGTATCCTGCATCGACAGCAATAAAGACACACACGGTTTACAGGCATATATACATTTATATATATAAACTTTACATGTTTACAGACCACAAAAAATATAAATCCACAAAAAATAATATCCAGTATAATCTTTAGAAGACTTAAAATCTTTGTTGGTCTTTTGACATGTGTTGTACCTAAACGTGTGGTCGGACTGACGGAGACGTGACAGTAACTGTGTGTTCCAGAGAAAAAGAGTGACCTGTGGTGAGGATGACGGGGGCGTAATGTGTGTGTTCTGAGTCAGGAAGAGGAACACTGAAACTCCAGCTGAAGACACAGCACATGCATTATGTATGTGAGGCACTTTTCTTGTGATTCACTGATGACAAATCCACAGGCAGAGAGTTCTGTTGTCCGTGGCGGCGGTGCGGGTGGTGTCTGGGATCCTTTTGTGCTTCATTATTTTCTGCACGCTTCGTGTTTTGGTAACATGACTGAGGATTGTGCCATCGACTGTAACAGAAGGAAGAAAGTCATTACTATGTTTAGATCAGGTGAAAACCGTCTAGCATTTGTTTCAGAGTAGACAGATTTAATTTTGATGTGCAGCTATCATTACCAAAATTCAAATGAACAAAGAAGAGGAAGCTTTGATGCATCACTTTTCCAGAGTAATCATGTACTGTGTGAATACGCTGTTAGTCATGTAGTTTTCTGAAGTGCAATTAATACAGTACACATTTGTTATATATGTGCACCGTTTCACACTTTTTGATTTTTTTAACACTTTATTTTGATAGTCCACCTACAGATAATTTACAAAATATCCGTAACATTTTAACAGCTTCTTAGTCAGCCATTTTGATTTTTTTTCTGTACACATTTAACAGATTTTCTAGAGCTTTCAGCCCACAGTAGAGTGCCAGATGGCCCGCTGACCAATTATTAAAATCACAATGAAAATAAAATGATTCACATTGGGATATTTTTGTAGTTCAAATGGAAATAAGGCGCCTGAGTGCGTAAAAAGGCATCAAAATGGAGCTTTTTTTATTTATAATAACTTAAGAAATACAAGTGCAAGGGGAGGACTACACCCCAAATTCTAGAATATATGTGACAATTCATAAACATGCCTATTGTCACATCTACTTTAAGATAGACATCTACAGACAAAACAAAACTATTGAATCTCATATAATAAGCTGTTGAAATGTTACAAATAAGTCTATAAATTATCTGTGGGAAGACTATCCAGATAAAGTGTTCCCAATATCTCTATAACCACATATATTGAGTTAAGACTATAGTATGTGTTACATATTGTCATGCTTCATGTTAAACCAGCAGCACAGCACAATGACAGTGTCTGAGTCAGCTGCAGATGGAGGTATAATTGCTCACTTATGGCACTCGGACCTCAAGGTAATGATAACCTTCGTGAACAGGCAGTGGTTTGAGAGGGGTAGGGCTCCAGAAGGTTTGATCACTCTTCAGAAACAGTTGAAGAGTTGGCTCGGTGAGACAGACCACAATATAAATGAGATCTAAGTTCAAGATAGTGAGGGGAAAGGTAAACAGACCCTCTTTCACAACCTCCCCGAGACTTAGTGAATGGAAATGAATCATCATAAAGGTTGACAACTTACTTTCAAGGCCTTTATTGTCTGAGCCCAGTCCATCTGACTAATCTGAGGTATCGCAGTCAGCAGGATACTGCTGGCTTTGTTGGCGTTCTCCTTCATCGTCTTCAGCACGTTGTCAACACAGACCTAGGACACGAGAAGAAGGAAACAGCCGACGTTTGATACGAGTCACTTAGAGAAATGCAAATTTCACTTCCTTAAAGTGTCACAGTCATTTTGTATTTCCCTAAAAATGTACAGTGACGATACAATGAATGTTTCCACTGTGAATAACAGTGTGGAATCAAACAAATCTGTGTTTAACGGAAAATGAGCTGTAGTCTACTGTTGCTCCACACACACACACACACACACACACACACACACACACACACACACACACACACACACACACTTGCAAGGGTGTAACAATACATGCATTTGTATTGAATCATTCAGTGCAAGGCTTCCAGTTCAGTACGCATTACAACCCGAATGATTCACCGAACTAATCATATTACATTTGGAAAATAAAATATACAGCCTATAAAGTAAACAAGGATGCGCACATGTTGTAACAGCCAAAGTGCTGTCTGCCCCTCCCACCCCCCAAACCACAACATTCTTCTCCTGTGGGCAGGATACATCAGTGGGAATACTTCAAACATGTCAGGTCATTTAAGATGACTTCATCCGGTGTGTCAATCGGTGGGACTATAGACGAAAACAAGGAGCTACATAAGCACAACATGCTAACATTATCGCTGCAGCATTTAGGCAGCCATTCAGAATTGATTCAGACAGAGCAAAAGATATCACTGTGGGGATCAGTACATTAGTAGTTGCAGATATGACGCCCATATCTGTAGACGAAAACAGGCTTTAAGTATATGCTTAATGTAATTGAGCCCATTCCTGCTTTGTTCAAAAAAAAAAAACAAAATCCCTAATTACAAATGTTTTTAGACAAGGACATTTCTCTGGCATCTCAGAAAGAGAATTGTTTCTTTTGTTTGCATTTGTTTTTACTACAATACTACATTTTATAGTTTTCATTTTATAAAAGGAGCTGGTTTTGTTTTATATGCTGCTAAGAAGAGCCCTACGCGATGGGTCACTCAGGTCAAGCTCCATCTTTGTTCAAAGTGAATAAAAGATCATACTTTATCATGTTAGTGTTGAAGCCATTTCTAGCAAGTCCTAGTTTCCTATTATTTTTTGAGTCACTCAAATGCCACCTGGCCTGGCATCTCCTGAACCTTTAGGTGTGCTGATGTGTGTGGAGCATGGAGAGACGCCACAGGGTTACAGTGTTGTTTGATGAAGTCGTTTAATACCTCAGAGATTTGAACTTTGTTTTTTGGAAAGGCCTGTTTATTTGGGGAATGTTTGTGTGGGGATTTTGTTTTTCATTTCTGAACATGACAGTCAAGACAGTCAGTTAGCATCATCTTGCAACTCTCCATACATCCCGCAAATCAGCCAACTCTAAACCAACCGAGGTACCTGGCTCATCAAACAGTGAGTAAAATTAAAACCAAAGACAGTGAGTTTATTATATCTCCGGTTATCTGGGCATCTGTGGGGAGCTATTTCTGAACTTACTTGGAAGCCGCAATAGTTAGGTTTATAAATTAGAAATTTTAAAAAACAAGAAAATTTCTCTGGCATTTCTACTGTGTCGAAAATGTACCATACCGTGACACAAGTTGTATCAAATGAATCACCATGAATTTTGCAAACTGTTACAACACTGATTTTCTTTTAAATTATGGCCTGGGCCTACTTTGTATTTCAATTCAAGAACAAAGCACAGAAATCAAGGCTTCAGCTCTGACGTGGACGGCAAGTTAAGCTGGTGAAAGTGAAATTTAGCTTTATCTGGAGTTTATTCAGATCACAAGAGGACCTGCTAAATAACATTCAATACAAGAAACACTTCATCAGTGCAGATGTGAAGACCCATGTTTTGTTCTCCTGGCAGCCAGCTGTACTCCGATGACTCACTATGTTGTACTGATGCAACTGACTCTTGAGCCACTTCACCTATCATGTCTATGACACTGGCAAACATCACGTTGTGCAACATCACTACGAGAAAAGAGGAAATAAAAATCCTACGGATACTAAGTTATCTGCTCTAATCACATAAAGAAGCTGAGGCGTCAGTCACACAGTCAAGGTAACATATTAAGAATATCTGCATGAAGTAATGTGATAATAAACATTACTCAGCCACACGCACAGTGTACAATACAGTAAGTTACAACTTTATTTCCGTCCTGCCCTCATTATCTCCTGTAACCTTAATTAACCCTTCCCTTGAGTGCTTTGTTTTCATGTCACATTCAATGACTAGGTTCGTGTTTTTGTGGTGTTTGCCAGGATGAAGACAGTGAAGCTGATGACTCAGTGTGACTCAACCTCCTCTGGCAGGGCTTCCACCGGAGGCTGGCAGGCAAGCAGACTGGGGGGGGTGGTGGTGTTTGGAGGGGGAGGCCAGGAGGTAGTATGAGGCTAGGAGGGAGCGGAGGGAGGGAGGGAGGAGGGAGGGGGGGGCGGAAGGATGTGGCGAGCGTTCTGCAACAGGAGGGGGAAGAGGTCAGCTGCAGGAACTCGGAAGTGGAGTTGTGAGTTTGGCTGGATCCGTGACAAATAAGCCAAAACTCCCCCACACGCAGTATATCAACTGCACTATCCACAGTGTCTGACACAGAGAAGGTCACTCGGAAGCCATAAGAAGCCACAGACACTCTCACATCCTAACCGAGCACAGATGGTGAAAACCTACGCTGAGAACCCATGGTACTAATAAAATTAAAGGCAATCTGGTCTAGAGACATTTATCTGAACAAGCAAAACGGTATTATTTATTTACACTTTTCTGCAAATCACCTCCAAGAGGAAGGCAGAAAAGTTAAACTTCGGACAGAACTGCCCTACATGTCACAGCTATAACCAAAATAGTTCATTTTGCTATTCAATTTTTGTGTTAAACATCCTGAAAAGGCATATGCTTCTTTTGTTTCTAATGAAAGTAATTCTCAACGTGCGAGACACTGAATGTGTCCCCAAATAATGTGTGACTCTTTATATAATCGATCTGATAAAACACCAACATGCTCTGCGGCAAAAACAGAGGAGACCTCATGCACCCAAATGTTGTGTTTCCTGCTATGAAACGACACTGATCACTGCGGTTTACAGTAAACAAGGTCCTTTTGTTAAAAGCACGGCCCAGAAAGTCTTCCGGTCACAAAGAGCGAGGGGAAAAACAAGCCCTGGATCACTGCTGGTATCAAAGCACCAATGGTCCTTTATGCAAGTAAAGTAAATAATAAAAACAATCCATATTTATATTCAAAAACGATTATAAATTATCATTGATTATTTTTGTTTGTTTGTTTTCAGAAAAATAAAAACCGACACATTACGTGGTGGTGGGTGGAAATGTGTTAAAATTACGTGCTGGAAACACAAAAACAATGCCAACAGAAAAAAAAACTGGTTTGGAGAACCACAAAACACTTGGTTAAGTTTTGGGAAAGATTTTGGTTTTGGTTAAAATTAATTACGCACAGGATGTAAATAACATACTTTGCAAAGTTACAAATTGTGCCTACGTAAATTACTTTGAGTTGTTACCAAAAGTCTGTAAAGTCACATAACTACTAGGGTTGTCAAAAGTATCGATACTCTGAAAAGTATCGATACTCAAATGCTGTATCCGGATACAATACTAATTTACAAAAGTATCGATACTAACAGTGCACGCCACCTCAGCGCCTGTCGGGTGCGCGCGACGGGTCCGACGGACACGTGCTGTGCAGGCAGTGTCTGGCAGGCACAGAGCCATCGCTGTATCCGGCTTGTTGTCGTCGCTGTGCATGCATGCACACATTTCTGTTGCTGTAATATGGCCAGCGCGGCTGCAGGAGGATCAGAGCAGCCAGTTTTGGTCAAAAATGATAAAGGAAAAAGCGCTCTTTGGAAATATTTAGTGAAGTGAACACAGCACGCTGCAGACGGCAGGTACAGCCCCTCCCCTCACTAGCAGCTGAGCAGCTGGTGTCGCCAGCATCAAACTAAAATATAACTTCTAACGTTAATGTACGAGCTAAGCAGAAAACTTTATTATCAGTCATGCCCGTCTGTAACATTAATAGACAATGTTAGTTTAACAGGACAACACAATTATGTGTGTCTGAAAAGTTATGTCAACTGTAAAGTCACAGATTGAAGCTGAAAAAACGTTTGGTTTCTCCCGTAACACCTGGTTCTCTGATCACATAGTGAGGTAGAAACAGGAGCATCCTGAGCCTAAACTATCAACTCTATTTGATCAGCAATGAAAATATGGTGCCAATTCACCAGAAGCACAGAAAATAAACAGGGCTATAGATAAATACATTTGTATGGACAGATCTTGTTTCTGGTTGTTATTTATTTAGGGGGGATTTTTTGTTGTTATCATTGATGTTACTGTTCTGATCTTTATATAAAAAATGACATGCCTCTTAATTTTTTGCTGCTGTATCGAAAATGGTATCGAGTATTGAATATTTTCCTGGGTATTGATATCGAGTTTGAAATTTTACTATCGTGACAACCCTAATAACTACGCTGACTTTTTTTTTATTTCAAATGGGACATGAACAACGTGTCCTGGTTCAAAGTCCATGTTTGTTTGACCAATTTCCCAGTCCTCCAACCCGCCCTACGCTGACTTTTTTCGCTCTTTATACCTAATTTGTGTGTCCACCACGACAAAAGAACCTCACTGACTTTGCATTGGCATTGTTTTCATGTTGCCAGCACATAAAAAAACAAAGTTCGTGCCCAACACGACGTAATGCGTTTTGTCCATTTCCTGTATTTCTATGAGACACGGGCTAAAAGTTGAGTCCTGCAACTTTCAGACTAGTATCACTTTTAACAGACAGTTTGTCTGGCTCTCCGTTATGAGGATGTGGGTCGCAATCACATTTTTATCTCAGAGCTAATGTGGGTGGATTGGACACAATCGTGCAGTAACTGTTTTATTGCACACTTTGGCACAAGTGGTTCACACCTTTGCTTTTTAATGGCACAGCACAAATTTCTTAGTCCAAGGAAATGATTTTGCAGAGCCTGTGGTTACATGTCATACCCTCAGGGGTTTCCTACGTTGGGAATCACTGGTCTAAAGTGACCTGGCCAATGCTGTTCAAAGAGTTTGGTGAATCAGCTGATTAGACGGAATTGGGTTAAAATGTAGGGGGAAATGCCAAAGGGAATTTGTAAGCAGTAGAGGAATTAATAGGGTGAAATCAGGCAAGACATGGTCATACAGCGTAAAAAACTAAGATCAGAATGAACAGAGATAAATCTAAATTTAGGATACTATGGCCTAGACAAGAAAAAGTCAAGCGAATATGCCCTTGAGTGTGCTCATTTATTAGTGTCATAAACCGTCAGATGAAATTAAGTATTAAATTAAGTAAAATGGGTAGGTCAAGCATCCACTGTAGCTCCAGGACACCAGTACTAAGATGTGGTTATCCTTGGCAGGAGAAGACAGTGAAGAAGGCTATGACAAGTTTTCTTTTTTCCAAGAACCTCCACCAAGAAGGGAATGCCAGTTGTTGTTCGTCATGATACAGAGGAGGCATGATAGCATGCTGTCCTATGAGCTAGTTTAGCAACTTTGCTGGTAAGCTAGCAATGAGCATAGATGGATCTGGGTCAGGTGTCAGTCACCATGATGGTTTACACAGTAGATAAATAATAAAATGCTATATTAAGCCAATGTTATTCACCTGCTGGTACACTGACAGCTTTTATCCAGACGTTCTCCAGTGAAGGTAAGGTTAATGCTAAAAGATACCAACCTGGTAACGTTGGTAACTAAATAAATCTAAGGCCAATAAAAGCAAATAACACTTAATAAATATGCCACTGCTGCCTGCACACACAAAGAAACAATAGGAAGGAAGAGATGTTGCCCAATGTGCACCGACTGTGCATCCCACTTTCCCGACACTGACTCACACAAGGCTCAAACAAGGACAGAGGAGACATCAAAGTAATAAAAACGGCTGTTAGAGACCTCCAGCCTGCCACTCACCGCCTCCTCATGCTCCTTCCAACAGTCGTAGTCTGTTGCCATGGCGATGCTGGCATAGCACAAGCCGGCCTCCTTGGCGAGGACCACCTCTGGCACAGTGGTCATGTTGATGACGTCAGCGCCCCACTGGCGGAACATCAGGCTCTCGGCCCGCGAGGAGAAGCGGGGGCCCTCGATGCTCAACATGGTCCCTCGCACATGGCACTTGACCCCAAGGCTCCGCGCCACCTCCACCAGAACCTGCACCGGGACACGGAGTTAATAGTTGTCAGCATTAAGTCAGTGGGAGAAGAGGTGAGAACTGTTGACATGGTTTTAATAGCTGTTCATCTCATTCTCTAAACTGTAGTGTTGAAGGAGTAAAACACAGTGTACTGTGCTGTGGGGTATGATACTGTTTTAGACTATTGAAGATCAGCAGATATTTATTTTTATAGCAAAGACTGCCCTCATCACAAGATGTTTTTGTGCATCTACTAGTTTTTGTGACTAAATTTTTCAATATAAACCTACAGGGAATTGCAGGACAACAGCAATCTCACTGCTTTGCCTTTGCTCCTGTGAGATTTTGCTAACTCAAGAGACAGAACTCCCTAAATCTTTAAGTCTAATCAAAGTTTACAATCTGTAGTTACATCCTAAATATGAGATTTGAGCATAAGAGAGATCTCATAGTACTTTCATGTATCTAGATATTATTGATTAAGTGATTCAGCTGTCAGCAAATTTTAGCCTCAACCCTGCAGCTCATGTGCACTTTTTCCATGTCACTACTATTTTCACACTTCTGGTCTATTTTGGTCGGGCCAACGTACATCATTGTAAAAGAATATATTTTGACATGATATAATGCTATGTAAATGCAATATTAATGCACAATATAAAAAACAGCTTAAAAAGGAAAATGTTAAGAACAGAAACAATACTAAAAAGTTAAATAAAAGTTCAATTTTAGAGTCATTTTGTAAAACAAGGGTACCAAAGCTGAGATAATACAGGAAGTGAAATCTGTAAATGTAAAGGTCTTTAGGGACTCGCCTCTCTGGTTCTGTTGCAGAAAGGCTCAGCCATGGGGATGTGACACACTCCTGGGGGGCTGGTGGGCTGCCCATCATACAGCGTTTGAGCTCTCTTGGTAGTCCTGGCACAAAGAAGCAAACAGGAAGTAGAGACAGTTAGTGTCAGGCAGCACAGGCAAATTCCAGATGTTGTTTTTAGGTTAAATTGTTCCAAATAAACCGAAACCATATAAAATAATACCTTAGTTTTTGTTTTGCTACATGCTTTATGTTAAAGTAGAGATGAATAATGAACAATTAATTGTTTTTTTTAACCATTTAAATTCATTTATGTCAGATTGGCAAATGTTTAAAAGAAACCTGAGCAAATACTGTAAGTTTAGCTATGACCGAGTGGACAAAACAATTCTTAGAAACCTAGTCAACATAAACATTAATGGTATGGAGAACCAAGCCACAAAGTAAAGGTTATTTTGGGTCACAATGATAATAGAAATAACAAGTTGCCATTTTATAATCCTCTAAAGGAGCCACTGTTTTAGAAACACCACATATCCATACTAATTTGAGCTAAGTTACTTCATCAGCTATAGAAAATAACATTGATGATACACTGGGTGAAACCATATTCATGGAGGATTGCTGTGGTCATTTCATCCCACACAACTAAATTCCATGACTTTTCCAGGTTTTCCATGACAGTGGGAACCCTTGACAAGTTTATCAAAGTGGTTAAATAGCCTCTATCATTTAAGAAAAACCTCACCAATCTTTACACTGTCTGTTCCTACACAGACAATTCTTTCCGACAGGGAAATAAACTGAAAGTGAAACGGTCTTCAAAAATATTTAGCCTTGCTGAACGCAGGAGTTGCCGAGCTACCGCTGCCTCAATTGAGTTTGTTTGTAATATGGTCTGGCTTTGTTGTTTTAGAGGGTGAGTTCATTTTCACTAAACAGTCTTGCTGTAGTTACACACGGCTCCCTGTGACTTCAGTTCATCAAGAATTCTTTCCATTTCTGGATTCTTTGTCCACCACAGGCATGCAGGAAAAACATTTTCTTTGCTAATTCAAGGTAACACAGGGTGAGTAATTGATACACAAATGATCATTTGCGGGGGTGAGGTATTCCTTTAAACTATTCACTGTGTCATGAAGAGTCCTTTTACATCTATCCAGGACAATAAAAGCATTAACAGAAAGAAGCAGAAGCCTGGTCTCCCGCACCACGCCAACAACGGTCGTCTAATTTCCAGCTCTGCTGAGTCAGTGGGGTTCCACCAGGCACAGTGCCAGCCTGCCTCCCTTCAGCTCTTTATTGAGCCGGGTCATGAGTATACAAGAGACTGACTCACTTAGCCCAGTGACCTGAGAACACCAGGGATTTTCTGTCACCCTGTATCCCCTCCGCTTGTTTTGCGAGCACTGAATTCTAATTAAGTGTGCGGTTATTTCAGGGTATATGGATCATTATGTAATGGGGTGATAATGGGATAACTAGATTCCTCAGTAGTGCTGATTCATTGCTGCTTTTCTTCTATTTTTCCCATGGATTGCCTATGCACACCGCAATTATCTCAGACATCCAAAATATGAACGTCTGTGTCGACGGTAATCTTTTAAGTTGATGCCCAACCCTATCTCTTAGTCATAGCTCTGGCATTGGAAGACTAAAGTCGTTGCTTAAATAGATCGAGCCAGCTGCAGCTCCACCCTGCTGGAAATTCAATAACAGTAGTGTGTGGGGATAAACTGCGAGTGGAGTACAATGCCTGGTTATGTTATGGAAATCAAGTTATCTGGGGCTGGCATTTCATTTGCAGTGTCATGTCAGGATCGTTGTTGCAAAGAATGGCTCCCACAGCCTTTAATTATCAAAGATTTAAATCATTCCTAAAATGCAAAAAGAGCTAGTATTGACTAAGCATTGGATGTAAATACTGCAACACCATCCCATAAGTCACAGCAGTATGCAGATTTTATTACCAATTATATAAAGCCTACTACTCTTTGACATGACAAACAGATCGGCATAAAAATCTAAACTGGATTTAAAGGGTCAAACCTCAGTGCAAAAAGCATTTAAGGTCCATAGGAGACATAAATGCTTATAACCAAACACATTCAGCATCCTGTGGCGACCAAGTAGCCAACAAAAAAAACTAAGCACTGCTGACATCACAATTGTGGAATCAATAAAGTAAGGCCTTCACAAACACGCGGTCACATGCTGCAGGACAAGTCTGAACAAGTCCCAACAAGCAACTTCCTCATTTTCGATAAACAGATCTCGTCTGTGCTTGATGCTGGTAGTCGAGTGCTTCACTAACACGGCCAAGCAAAGCCACAGGCAGCGTAATGCAGTTGTATGCAAGTGTGCAAGGGGGGAAACACTGACACGGCTGTGGGGAGGCAGTTTAACTACTAATCACAGTTCAACCAGCTGTATGGCGACTCATCGGTGACATAAGCCACGCTGCTGAAACAGCACCTCTCACTGCACATGTTGAGTTATTTAATGGAATTAAGCTGACAGAGGCTCTCACACGCCCACAGGGTCATGCTATACGTATATGCCGCCTGGAGGTCGGACACTGCTGAGAGAGTATGCTTTCCCATGTCAGTTAAACAGGAAAATGTCTCAGGTTTGCCACCAAGTGAGTTTGACTTCCTAGTGATCAAAACCCACAAATTCAAGTTTTTTTTGCGACTTAAGCCTTCCACAAAATAAATATGTGTATTCTTTACAGATCTAAATAAACGGGAATCAGTCAGCCTAGTTCATATGTGGTCAGCTTGCACCAAAATCAGTATCAAAACCACAACAGCACAGTCAGTTAATACCAACCCAAACTCTTAATATCACAGGAAGTAAAGTCAACTCCAAAACGAGGGAGGGAAAGTACATCTTCATGTGAACCAGAGCTCTCCATGACAGCGACTAAAACATGATAGTGGGTATTACCTGAGTAGAGTGAGTGAATGACAACTGAAGGCTGAAATTCTCACAACTCAGAGAAAGTGATACACCAAATGAAACACGACACAGACAGGAAGGAGCCCTGTTTACAAAAATGTCACTGTTAAATATCGTGTTGCCGTCAACTGTTTCCACGGGAGGAACGTCGCACTAACAGCTGCAGTTTCTAATTCTCACTGAAGCCCTGAGCAAACTATGACACCGTGACAATTCTTCCCACTTAACACTGTAGTGAACAAATATTGGCTTTGACGAATGTGTCAGACGTGGTGAGTCAGGTCCTTCCTCCCTTTGCTCACTCAGCGATCTGGACACTTTTGTCACACAGTAACATGAATCATTCCACTGAGATGTGTGGGAAGATGCCTGAACTTGCTGTATGAGACAGTACAGCGTAAGAAGCAATAACAACCACCTTGGACAGAAGGTCAAACTATTTAGAGAAACACATTAAGGCTGTTAATAAAATCTTAACTGATGGGGTTTTGCTCGTAAAATATTAAACAATGTAGCCATTTTATTCATGTAAACTTCATAACTGTAATGCTTTCCAGATATCAAAAGGGTGAGTCCATTTACACACACAGTTACACACTTATCTAAGGGTGTGTAATGTCATAGAATATGGTATGACATGAATGCCGTGTTAAAAAGAATAAGGCTGTTGTGTGAGAATGTCAAATGTATGATTTAATGGTCTTTTAAACATACATAAAGAAGCGTGATTGGACAGTATAAAGTGGTACTAAGCTCCTTAATGCATTTCAGAAATTGGAAAAAATGTGTACTTTCGTCAACAGGAAGAGACAAATAATATTTTTGACCGCATCTGAATTGTGCCTTGAATTACACATATGGTGTTTGTCAATTTAAAAGACAATTTTGCAAGTCAAAAAAGCCACAGTTTGTCTTAAAACTGTTGAAGTATGATACTGTGAAAATCAGTAATTAGAATGACTACACAAGTCGAGCAGGTGACGTCACACCTTCCTCTACTGCTGAAGCTATGATGGCTGTGTGTTTTGTACCGGGATGTAGTTCAATGAGTAACGGGTCTTACTCATTCTTTCGCTTCCAAGCTGATAAAAGATTTGCTTGATAAAATGCACCAGGTTATATTTTTGCAGGGACCATAGCTAACTTACCTTACTAGCTAGCTAACTAGCATAGGTGACGTATATTGTGTGAGACAAGGACGTGGTTTTTACATAAAATTTAACAGTACTACTACCATAAACTGCAACTTTCTTGGCTTGAAAAATTATGTTTTAAAAAACAAACATGTAATCCATTGCACAATCCAAACAGGATGAAAAAAAAATTGTTTCTCGCCATTGACCATGGGGGACACCTGAGGGGAGCAGGTTCTGAGGTATAGCAAGGACAGATGGATTCTCTGCACTAATGTGCATATTCAAATCACACAGGTGGTATTCTTCACACACCAGGGAAAGTAAAATTACCGCTTTGTGGTGATATGACTCGCCAACCCGTCAAGTTACAGTTTACATCCCTGTCTGTCCACGCACATATGTAGCCATGATAGTAGACAGTGCTTGAGGGTCACAGTGAAGCTGACCTTTGACTGTTTGGATTTATCATTTTATCCTAATTTTGTCATAATTGGCGTATGAATTCTTGAGGTATAGCCAATAACTTGTTTTGTGAGGTCACAGTGACCTTTGATCACTGAAATCTAATCATCATCCTTGAGTCCAAGTGGACGTTTGTGCCAAATTCGAAGGAATTCTATCAAGACCGTCTTGAGATATCGCATTCACAAGAATGGGACAGATGGACACCCTGAAAACATAACGCCTCTGACCACAACTGTTGCCTGCCTGAAGGTAAAAAAAGCTACCTGCATGCTTTTTGTAAATGCAGTTGTTTACTTTTTGTAGCCTGTGTGTTGACGTCTTGCAACAACTTAGTGTTATCTCTTTGTACCACTTAACTTTCCCTCACTATGATGACCAGCTTTTCGCCACAGAAGGAAACAAAACTCAGGATAAACAGTCAGCTAAACACATTTTTCTCATTTTAAAAACAGAGGACAATTATTTTAAAAATAATTGCTGAGAGTACGTGGAAAGAAGAAACAAATATCTCAACCATAACTTGCTGTTGTGGTCACAACGCCGCTCACCTGTCAATGAACTGATCGATGATGACAATGTCTCCTGGCTGAATCTCCTCCCGCAGTGAGCCACAGGCCGTGGTGACCAACAGATGTGTGCAGCCCTCTTCTTTCAGTGCCCAGATGTTGGCCTGGTAGTTCACATTGGACGGCATAATGGTGTGTTGTCTCCCATGCCTGAAAGGACGGGGAAAAGCAGCATTCAATATACACATTATTTATTTTTTATTGACTTTTAGGGTGAAGGTCAGAAACATGAGAATATACAGTGTGCCTGGCACTTCGTTGTTAGATGGCGTGAAATATTAAAGAGATGCAGTATAAATAAATATCCACTAGATGGTGCTGATAGATAACTAATCTCAATGACTCACATTTCAAAGTAAAACACCATTTCTTACCTTGCAAGAAGCACACACTCCACATTCTTTATCTTCCCCAGGATCAGAGCATCGGAGGGCTGTTGAAAAGGAGCAGAGTAACCAAATTAAATGCAAATACACTACTGTAAGGAAACGTTTACAGTGGCAAAATAGGCCAGGATGCCAGCAGACCTTATTGATTACACTGCTGTACACAACTAACCTTTCCGTATGGTGTGTCGACGTAACGCTCGGTCCTTCCCTCCAAGATATCTGGATCATCAAGTCCTGAACCACCAATGATTCCAATCTAAACAAAAATGGGAAAGTCATTAACACACTCATATATATCACAATCAATATCCGATCAAAACACTTCCATGTGTATTTATTCAGTCTATCCCAGCTGACATTGATTGGGTGAGAGGCGGGGTACACCCTGGACAGGTTGCCACACTATCACAGGGCTGACACATAGAGACAGACAACCATTCACACTCACATTCACACCTACGGCCAATTTAGTCACCAATTAACCTGCGTGTCTGTGGACTGTGGGAGGAAGCCGGAGTACCCAGAGAAAACCCAAACTGACACGGGGAGAACATGCAAACTCCGCACAGAAGGTTTTAAATACAGTAATGGGGAATTAGGGCATGGATAAATGCAGAAAATAAAAAACAAAAAACAAAACAAAACAAAAAAAACCATGGTGCTTAAAACTATTTAAAGACGCCAATGACAAGACTACATGCAGTTATTTGCCCCTCAGGGGAAACGCTGTAGGTGTCTGCACATATTTACAGTACTGTTTATATTCAGTTAACACTATTGCCCCAAAGGTGAGTGTATTTACTCGTGTACTTAACCTCTACTCTTATCTTAGAAGATTTTAGAGGCTGTATTTTTTTTACTCCACTATATTTACTTGACAGCTGTATTAGCTACTAGTACTTTGCAGACTGATATATAAGATATGATATAGCAGATTCTACAATATGATGCATAGTCACTGATAATTGTTCAAATTGGTTCCAGCCCGAACCAGCGACAGCATTGCTGCTAACATATTAATCAATGCATGATAATTATGCTGCACTATTACAACATAGAGTTACTGTTGTTGTAGTAATACTTGTAATTCCTTTCAGCTTTCAGCTAGGGTTGGGAATCACCAGAGGAGCCCTGATACGATATCACGATACTTGAGTCACGATACAATATTACTGCAATTTCAAATATGTTGTGATATGCTGAGTATAGCAGCCACATCTGCTTATTTGTCTGCCTCACGGTTATGTCAGGTCTCCATGGGTGGCAGTGTAGGGATTCTTTATAAGCACAGGTGTAGGTGGTCAGGCAAGGCATGACTCACTCCTTTTGTTTTCCAGCAGTATCACATCATAAGTTTTTCTTATTGCATTAATCAAGTCATGTTTTTGTTGTAACCTTTCGACTATTAAATGGGAACATCACCCGAACTTGAGCAACAGTCTGGACAGTTGTTTTGTTATCAAGAGCATGTCAAAAACAGTCTCCCACACCCATGCAGAGTGACTACAGGAGGGCAGGATAGTCACTATACGAGTATTGTGATAAAATATATTGCAATATTGCGATTTATGACCAGTTTTGAACTATAAATTAAGTCCCTAAACGAAAGCTGTCGACATCTGGGGTTTTTTTAATGCAGCAAAAATGTATCTAATGGACTGAAAAAGCTATTGATTATATTATTCTCTGAGACTACCTAAAGTTTAATATGTATTTGTCATATTCATAATTGATTTAACTTTAAAAATGATACTTGGCAACTTTTATTTCAGGTAAGAATGGTTAAGAAAGTATTCAGATTCTTTACTTATGTAAAAGTACTAGTACCACACTTTAAAAATATTCTGTTACCTTTGCATTGAGTATGCAAGTAATATCAGTAAAATATAGGTATTAAAAGTAAAAGTACTCAATGCAGAAAATGGTCTCTGTGACTGTTACACTATTATATATTAAATCACTGGATTATTATCACTGATGCATTGATGTAAAGCAGGATTTTATTGCAGATGTAGATGTTTGAGGTGGAGCTATTTATTTGTACTACTTTGTATGAGAGTGCAACTGATGACATTTTTTATTATTGTTGTTAGCTATACTTGTATATCCTGCTGTGTTTAAGAGCACATCATATCTGTACAGTAAACAGTAACTACATCTGTCAAATGATTGTAGTGAAATAAAAAAGGTACATCTCCATCTGTCATGTGTCCATCAAATGTAGTGGAGCAGGAGTAACGTACAAAATAAGATGAACAGAAAAGACAGTAAAAGTACCTCATATTAGTACTTAAGCAAGATACTTGAGTAAAAGTACTCAGTTACTCTCCCCACAGTTAAAGTACCTGCAGACAGCTGTCACACTCACATTAACTGTAACGTTAACTACCTGAGATGCTTCACCTATATAAGCTAACTATGTTAACAGTACCACAGCTAGCATGTTAGCTTGTGTTACTATGGCCGTTAACTTTAGAGAGTGGAGGCTACAGCTTTGCTAACTAACACAGTCCGATGCTAACAGCTAGTTAAGAGCTTTTCCCGCACTTACAGGTCTGTCACAGCAGCACATCTGGCATGTTACCTAGCCACATGCAGTTAGTGATTGCTCTCTGTCTGTGCTCAAACACACCATGTTCACACAGTAACACTTTATATGTGAGGTCAAATTTTAGGTTCTTACCTTAATGGGAGCTGTGGAAGCCATGTCGACTCTGTTCTTGACTGTAAAAGTGAAGATTTGTGAAGAAGTTGGGAGGAAGACCTTTTATAGCCACACAAACGTTAACTTCCGTCAGTTCAACGGACTACAGCCCCTTCCTGTTTGCTCGCTTTCAAAATAAAGGCATGGCAATAAACAAACATGTTAAATTACATAGCCTTGGGCTGTTTATCTGGTCTACCGACATTACCCTCTGACCGTTATTCAAAGCAACTATTTATTCACCTTTCTATTTATCTTACAACAAGCCGTTGGTTACAATTCATTTGACTACAAGTTTTTTTTTTCTTTTTTAAAGAAATTCAACTTTATTGGACACATTCATAACAGAGTAGGTATATCCCATATTTTCCTAAAAGAAATTGTTTACTATATTTTTTTGCTTAATAAAAATTGTTAAGTTTTAAATTTTTATTTCATTTATTTTTTTCCCAAAATTTATTAAGAAAACTGGGAATGTTCCTACTCCATGTTATGCATGTGTCCAATAAATTTGAATTTATTAAGTGCAACACTTGAGTAAAAGCACTTAGTTAAAAAATGAGTAATATATATAGATATTTCATGGTATGAAAATAATGTAAAAATGAAGGTGATTGCTCAACAGAAAACTGAGATGTGGTTAAAAGATAACAAAACCAAAAACCAACAGAGTTTCTGCTCAACAAATAAAGTAAAACTGAAATATTTAAATAATATAACAGTTTTTGCCCATTTATATTTTTAGATAAATTGTTTACTATATTTATATATATATTATTTTCTTAATAAAAAATGTGTTGTTTTTTAAGAAAATTTGGAATATTCCTACTCCATGCTGTGAATGTGTCCAGTAAAGTTGAATTTATGAAGTGCAATACTTAAGTAAAAAAAAAAAGAGTAATATATGTGTATATATATATATATATATATGTGTGTGTCATGGTATGAAAATAGTGTAAAAATAAAGGTGATTGCATGACAAATAATTGAGATGAGGTGAAAAGATAACAAAAACAAAAAAAGTCAGTTTGCTAAACAAATAAGAGTTAAACTGAAATGTTTAAATAACCTAACAGTTTTTGCCAGTTTATAATTTTTGAGATTACAGTTTTCAATAGTAGTCAAGTAAGTTTTAATTATGTACTTTTCGTCAGCCGAGAATTTGGGAATGTTAAAAATGAGTAATATATCTATCTTTGTTAGTATGAAATATTTCCCAGAAGGTTTTAAAAGGTCTTTACAAAAAAATCAAACCAAAAAGAAGTGATATGAAAACAATCTACAAACACATGTTCAATCGTTTCCCCTTCACAATTTTGGGAAGAAACTATAGATATTAGCTTTAACAGGGACGTCCTGCTCCACTATAATACTTTCCTAATTGTGTACTCTGTCCTCATTACTTGTCTGACTGCTTTCCATATTATAAAAGGGGTAAAAGAAAGAAAGAAATTATAAGAAAGGAAAAAACACATTTAAATTCAAACATAAGAACATGCTTTTGAAATAGTCTGCAGTCCTCTGAAGAATATTATATTTAATTTGTGGTAAGACATGCAAAACTGTGCAAAAACTGTGGTATAGTCCTTTAATGTGAATGTTCCCTGACTGAATGTGGCCTTGACACAGAAAATTTAGAGAACAGAGCAAGACATTTCAGTGTTGACTGTGCTCATTTAAATGGACACTGCTGTATTACACTGCTAGGAGTCCAAAGACCAACCTCTCTCACTCTCACACACACACACACACACACACACACACACACACACACACACACACACACACACTAATAAAACAGGCATTTAATTGGCTATATCATAAAGTGATCATTCATCATTCATCATCTTGTTTCACTTCCTGGTTTGCTATTTCAACACACTTACAGAGCCCTCAAAAGTGTTCCCTGAACACTTTGTCACCGCCAAAATGAAAGATAAATTATCAGTGTTAATACAACAGATTTTAAGACCGAGTTTTGCATCTAACCCTTCTACACCGACGAGTTTCATCAGCCCAGCTCTTTGCAGATCTGTATCATAGAACGCATATGGAAGACAGGGACAAAAAAGCCTGTCTGATTAAATAAATAAACAGCCACAGCCATATCTTGATTTCAAGTGGCACCACAAACTTATTTGTGAGGCTACAACGCTTCTCTTCCCTACAACTGTTTTAGATCTTTGATCTAGTTTGAAGCTCTAACACAAGATGTCAACTAGTCAACAGGGGTTTTTACTCCTCCAACACTTTATAATAATCTCATCTTGGATATGAAAACCATGTATCTATCTAGGGGTTTTAAAAGTCAGTTTTACCAGGTGTGTTTGCATAGGGGAAACACCAACCCTTACTTATAATGGTAATTCCACAAATAGGTTTGTGCTGCATGTTATGTACCAAAGATGTTTGACGACATTTTACCATTGCCAAAACACACAAAGTAAAAAAACACATCAATCTAGCTGAAGTCACTTTAAGACAGTTGGCAAACGTATGGCCCAGGTATTATCAATATGTTCCCAACAATATTTTCAACACAGTTAACCTGCACCTCTAAGACATAAACAGAAAACCAACTGCGCAAAGTTGCTCTTTACAATTTATTTTAAATAAATTCCAATACAAAAGAACCCATTCTGAAATCCAAACACCACTTGTGTATAAGTACTACTCCATGTGCAGCAGGTAGGAATTGTTTTGCCTCGAGAATATAGCGGACTTATGATGACAAAAAAGAAAAATCACTGTAATCAATATTATCCCTGAGAGCACCATAGAAATAAAATACATCCATTAAAGAAAATTTCCTGAATAAGAATTGACACTTTAAAAAAAAAGATATGCAACTCCTAATTTAATTCCATTCTGTTCATAGTGGCACTTGGCACATAGAATAGGATTGTTTTAGGTGTTTGTGAACACAGTCAAGAAACCAGACCGTGATGGTCTTTAAAACATGGTCATTTATCCGATGCTGACAACTTTTCAGTTCACTACAGATATCTGCGTTCGTCATGTAAGCCAGCGTCCTGTCAACTGTCTCAGTAGAAAACACTTTGGTGGCATGTAAAGGGATACATATGAAACTATATCCTTCAACATCTGGGGAACTTCAACATACTGAACATTGATTTGATCAAAAATACTGCTGGCAGACATTAGCAGCTGAGTGTGAATCCATCAGTTCCCACCACACACAGCTAGAATCTGAAATTCCAATTAACTACTCAAGCGTGTCCAGAGGGGATGGGTCCACTGGGTCATCTGTGGTACTGCTGATGGGGTTGTCCTTATTACCGCTGCTTGTCTGGGTGTCATGAGCACAAGAGTCACTGTCACTATCAATGGTGATGACAGCAGGTGAGTGCTTCTCAGTGCGTTCACTACTCTTGTGCCTTTTGCTTTTCTTCTTGTGTTTCTTCTTTTTCTTGTGGTGGCGCTTGCTTCGCTCGTGAGAGTTTTCCTCGTTGACGAGCTCCACACTGAGGCTCCTGCTGGTCTTCCTCGACCTGTCTTTGGATTTTTTGCAATGCTTCTCTTTGCTCTTTTTCTTGTGTTTTACAGGGGAGTCACCTTCAGCATTTGAATTGGAAAGTTCTTTTTTGGACGCTTCCTCCAAATGTCTCGTTTTGTATTTTCTCTTTCCGCCGGGCTTGTCATTGTGAGGCCTCCTTTTCATCGAAGGGGAGCGACTGCTGGAAGGAGTACGAGAACGAGAGTGCCTCCTGTCTCGTCTCCGCAAGTCCCTGCTGCGGCTCCTGGAATGGGAGTGCCGATCAGAGTATTTGCGGCTACTGTAATAGTAGGACCGCCTCTCCGTGTAATGCATCCCACTATTATTTCTCTCTTCGCAGTAATGCCTATATGACTGATAGCTGCTATCACTGTCCCTCTTTTTATAATTACGGTCACATTTTGAGATCACCAAGCTCCTGGTAGAGTGCCTGCGCTCTGAACTTCTCGACCTCCTCTTTCTCCAACGGTCTCCGTCCTTTGACCAGTGCCTGTCCCTAGATCTATCATTACACTCAAATCTTCTGTCTGTATCTTTTCTGTCTGACTTACTGGACGTCTTGTGCCTCCTGGATGTCGAAGAGCTACAGCTTTCTCTTAAAGCCAAAGGATGACAATGTTCTGAATCTACATTTTCTGACTGTCCAGCACCACTTGGATCACTACTCTGTGAAGCTACAGGACTCAGACTGCAGAAGCGGATGTGCTGAGGTAGTAGAGGCACTGCTTTAATATCTTCACAGTCAGACTCATCGGAGTTAGAGGAGAGATGGACCAGCTCGGGCGTTCTCTCTGCTGTTGGCTTAACATAACCAACAATAACACAGTCATCGCTGTCATAAGACGGACACTCTTCGTTGTTAACTTCACCCTGGATCATGTCTGTTTGGTTATGAGGACTCACTTGCTGTGAAGAGGCCCTAGACTCACGTGTCTCCTCCTCTAAACTGCTGTCTGAGTCTGAGTCAAGGACTGACAGACACTCTGCCCTGCTCTGCTCTGCTGTCGTGGAGTATGATGGCCCAGGCGTCTCATCATCCCACACAGAGTGGCTCAGAGTAGAAGTGGAGTCTCCTGGCGGGTCCAAATCCGCCGAGTGCTCTTCATCCTCTGAGATAGCTATTACAGATGAATTGGAGCTGCTGCCTTCATTTGAGGAAGGGGCTGGGTAGTCGTAGGCAGCATGCTGGTCATAGGCCTCCATATTGAAGGGGGACTTTGCAAAGCTGATGAATTCATGCAGAAAGTGCTCTGTGCGCCCCTGGAGGAATGGCCTGAGCTCTTCCAGAATAGCTCCATCCTCCATGTCGTAACGTGTAATGCGTGACATGATGATGTGTTGAACTATGTTGACCAAAGAGCCGTGGGCTCCATACAGCACAATGAGTTCTCTTTTTAACCAGGGGATCAGTCTATGCAGGCAAGCAGGATTACGTCGGAAAAACTCAGCTGAGGTGTCTCGAGAGCGGCCACCATCCCGGACATTCCGAACCCTCACTCCCCGTCGATACAGTTCCCTCCTGAAATTCACCATTTCCTGCTCTCTGACATTGTTCACAGCCCTGCCTTCACTCGCTGCTCTCCTCTTGGCTGCCAACCTCATCATCATTCGCCGGATGTAACGGTCCTGCGGCTGTTGTGGAGCATTTGCTGAGGCTTCAAACATTACTCCGTTATCTGGAGGTGGAGAGGTCCTTCCTCGCATCTGTCGATGGACCCCGGTAAGAGTTGTGCGGTATCTAAATCGCACTCCCTGAAAAGTCCCAAAAGAGGTACTTTCCACCGGCCGAAGGTCATACTTCTTGAAGTCTTGCTCCGATTTTATACTGTGATAGATTGAATGAAACGGCTGTTTGCATAGAGGGCACTCAGCCTTGTTCTTGGACCACTCATGAATACAGCGGAAACAGAACTTGTGCAGGCAGAGATCCAGGTAAGAAATATTGTTGAATATGTCCAAACAGATGGGACACTTGGAGTCTGGTGACACCTCTGCAGACATTGTCTCAGAGGTTTTCCTTCTGCCCCTCTTCTGGCTCTGCTGCAGGGCAATCTTGATTGCTGACATGTTCTGACATAATAAGAAAAAAAGATTATTATTAGTATTAAGAAATGAAATTATTATGAAATCACACATACAAAATAAAAACGATAAGGCAGCCATAAAGTGACCTGTAAAGTCCTAATGAGGTGCTGCAGTTAAGTACAAAAATCCAACCTATAAACTTAAGTAGCTTAATTTTACAATTATCCCTACAGCTGCTAAAAATATGCCCCTGTTCACTGAAATAATTTGCACATGGTGACTTGTAAAGTGTTACTTAATGTGCCAGATGAAGTAACACATTCCACATCATGAATACAAGACTTGAACTTGTTTCTCCAAATATACAGCATGCACCAGATTCAATCATAAATCCTTGTTGAGGATCACGACCTGCTGCTGTTGACAGGTGTGTCCTTGTCGAGGTATACTTCTTCGTATTTGCTAAAATTAACAATTTCTAATCATTATATTAACTATAAAATAAATTACCAAATAAATGTATGCCAATACATACAATGCTTAATGGCTAGTATTTTAATGTTATTATGACATGTCAGCTGTTATAACAACAACATAGCTGTCTCTCTCCAAATGCATGTCTGCTTAACCTTGCATACATTTAAAACCCATTCATGGTGCTGCCATAGACTATATATGGGCGCTAGTCTATAAATACAAATAAACGACTTGATTTGACATTATTATACGCTGTTATGAGAACAAACATGTCTTGTAATGACAATTAGATGAGAATAATTAACACACATGGGTGCTTGACTCGTATAAACAATGGATATGTGGTTATGACAGCCCGTGATACGTAACAACTACTACAGCCTTAATGTTACATTAGGTCTGGTGTTGTACATGTTAAAACCTAAAAATGCCTTTTCCATCTATCGCTATTCATTTGTCATCGAGACCACTGAGAGAAACACGTCTGAATAAAGCTACTATTAGACTGATAATCGTTTTGCCCTTCAATTGCGTTGTTGTTTTCGGTTAGCATTAGCTAGCTTAGCAGCTAAGATACAACCGTGCTGTCACCGCCTATGGTGCCCCCTCAGAAGAAGTGACTAACGTTTGTGTCGGTGTTGGGAATACGTTGTATTACTTTAAGTGCTGATATAATATCAACAGTTCTGACATTTACTATTCAACTGTTATGTCAGAGGTACATTGGCGCTACCCCTGACCGAAACTGCGAACTATAACGTTAGCTCAAGAACTGGTGAACTTGGTTAGCTAAAGTTAGCATGCTAGCTAAGTAGCGTTAGTTAGCTAGGCTAGGCTAGGCTAGGACAGCTACGGCTAGCTAGGACGTTTGAGAAAAGTTGTGCAGTATTTACTTTTGGCTTCTTCGGACACGTACGCTGTTGGCAAATGATTAGCCCTCTCCGTCGTGTAGAAAACCATTCACTTCCGAATATTTCTCATTCAGGAGCAGCTCTTTACAAGCCCCGGAGCCAACACTCCCTCCATATCCTACATTTGTATTTATTTGATTTAACTATGAGCCACTTCCGCTCTTCAGAATAAAAGCACCGTCTTTACATTTTGAAGAACCATAAAAACACACAAGCACGGCCAACAAAAGATAAAAAATATTTTAATTATCCTCATTTACATTCTTGGTGATAATAGCTATTCCACATTGTACGTGCTGCACTGTAATCCATATTTTTCCACACTTCCGGTCAATAGTGACCAGAATAAAAGTCAAAAGCCTTGTTTTTTTTATGTTGTATGACACCACGTCTTACATGTAAAGTGTTATTTATAAGGTGAGGATTCTCACTCCAGCTATTAGTAGTCTGAAACACCACCTGAGTAACAGCAGTGTAAAAGCAGCACAGTTGGTTGTCTCTTTATGTTGTAGCAGAGTTGGTATAAATCTGAAATTTAAAACCAACATATACATTTGCATCCTACCTATAAAGCTCTCAAACACTGCAAAGTTATTTTCTCTTTTTTAACTGATATCTTTCCATTTACTGCATTTAAATGCTTCTTCTTTGCATTACATTCGAACCCCAAATTTGAATTTCCCCTCAGGGCTATCAATAAAGTATATCTTATCATCCTGCCTCAAAAAGAAAGGAATCTATCAAGTTAAGTAACATGTAATCAAATTGTTATTTACAGCCAAGTGCTGCCCCACTAAGGTTGAGTTTACAAAACACTGTTATCTGTAAATGAACATGATCCAATAGTGAGCTGGGAAATGTATTTCTAAGAAATACTACAGCCTCTCACTCATGTAAGCATAAAAAAAAATACTTCTCCACTGTAGTATGTTACTATTTACATTCATTTGTAAAATCACACATACTCATAAATGATTTTGTAATATTTTATTGTCATATACACAGTTTTTACAACAGAAAATCAATCTAAATATTTCAACTTCAGTGATGACCATGACTCTCTGGGAGACCTGGAACAACTTCGCCCGTCTCCAGAATGGTGTCACCCTTAACACAAAAACAAGGACAAAAAATTTGAAATACTCTTTTCCAACAATAAGACATCTCAGAGAGCAACTCCTCTAGACATTTGTCAGCGCATCTCAAGACTGTGGCCTGACAATCATATCTTACTATGGCTGATAAAGTAAGCTCATATGCAGTTGTGCGTACAAACAATACAAATGACGATTATAGTAATTATAGAAAGGACAAAAGTACAATGGTAGAATTAATGAATTAATTATACTTACAGGGAACAGCTTGGGTTTCAGTTCCACAATGCCATAAGGCCTTTTCTGTGGGGCAAAAGATATTGTTATTTAGTATGCTGACATATGCATGAATTGAGTAAGTGATGTGTGTAGTGATGTAATGTACCCTTGTTTGTCAGATGCAAGAGAGAATTAAACAACATGGAATAAAGCCAATGCTGCCTGTCCGTAATTCTAAAATACTCCTGCTTCCTTTGCAAGTTACCCTTCTTGTATGCTACCTAAAGAATTAAATAACACTTTAGATCAGTGATACTCAACTTACAGCCCGTGGGCCAAATCTAGCCCATGATAAGGTGCCAGGTGGCCTGCTGACCATTAAATAAGGTGGTAAATAAGGTGCCCATGTGCTTAAAAATATCAAAAGCTTGATTATCCCAAAAAAGGGGATAGAATCCCCCAGACTCAACAGAAGTCCTGAGTGTCCTAAAATCCTAGAAACACCCCTGTGTACACCCGACCTGTGCAAGGCTGCTGCAACTTGGCTTGCATTGCTTATTCGTTTTATCTGATATATATTATGAATCATTGTTTGTTAACTGGCCCCTGGCCTTCTATCATTCTGCAAAAGTGGCCCCCGGGCAAAGCAAGTTGGGTATCCCTGCTTAGATACTAAAATATTAATATGTTATAAATCAGGAACTTAAATGTGCAAGTGCCTAAAAGAAAAGCTCATGGAGCTTAGAGGTTTGACTCTAATGCACATAACTTCCAGGAGTCCTGCTTATGAAGTCATAAAATTCTGTTCAACACTATTCATATGGGTCTCTAATCTGTTTACTCATTATTCATCTGCGAATATAACAAATTGTGTTTAATATTTCTGTTGACTTACAGCAATGTGGTATTTCACATAGTAGTGGACAAGCCAAGCAGGTATCAACAGGCGTGTTAATGTGAAAACTCCACCTCTGTATGCTTTGTAGGTCTGTAAGGAGACACACACATTAGAGACAGGTTATATTATAGAGAAGAGAATTACATCATGAAACATAGTGATTATTCTGACTGCTTTAAAACAGGTAACCACTGCTCTGTCACTCAGCAGGTGAGGAGTTGTATGTAAAATATTCAGGTGTGAAATACTAACAAATGAAGTGTGTTTTACAAAGATGAAATTGAATCAGAATAGGTGCTGGTTTGTGTGCTTGGCTAAGGCATCTTAAAGAAGCCCCAAATGTAAAATCAATTGAGATAAAGTGGGATTGTTACAGTTTCATAGAACAAATCACCACATGTAAAAGGATACTGATACCATGATCTAAACATGCTGGTAAACCTTCCTCTATAGTTTGTACACCAGTAATTTTCTTATGCTCTAATATATAATTATATATATATATAAAATCACATAATAATTTATGTGATTATGATGCTTTATTTAATCACATAAAAAGTCATTGCATAATATGACATAGCCTAGTGATAAGACCCTCCATACTCTACAGTCAGATGGTAAATGTAATGCAATAAGCACATGTTAATTTTGTTGACACACGATTGAAATAACTACAAGCTTGTCATTTTCAAACAGCAGTAAATTGGGTTAACCTCACCACGTTGAAGGTGGTAGCATTTAGCTGCAGTGTAGCTCTAAATACGTTAGCTTTAATAAGCTAACAACGGTTACACCGTATAAAGCGTTCAGTTTGTTTTCTGATATTTCGCATGCAAACTACTATTATCGTGGGTTGTTTTGCTAGCTAGCTAGCGTTAGCTGTGCACAGGGACTCACGTAAAGCCTCCACAGGCTCTTGGGCTCCAGGAAACCAGCCCAGAACTTGGCGATGGCGCCGGGAGGTTTAGCCTGTATCACGGGCTCCCTTGGGCTGAGCTCCTGGTCCTTCAGCCACTGCCTCCGGAGCTTCGAGAGCTGCTCGACACGGAGCTTCTCGTCTGGTGTGTAACCAGACATTTCTTGTTTCTGGATATTCAACCTCAGAAGACTTACAATGACACCATGGAGGACACTTCCCTTCGCAGGCAACGGCACCAACCACGAAGAAGAAGACAAAGCGGAAACGTGGCACGGACTGAACAGCGGGACGAATTCTACTGCGACACCTAGTGGACCGGAAGAGCAACTGTGACATCATGTGTTTTCCTTATTCTTTATTCTTCTAATTGTAAATAAAACTCATGTTATTATTCTGAGAGTGACAAAAATGTTGCGTGACTTCCAGAAGCAGTTATTTTACAACATGCAAGCAATAGATTTAGTCAGAGTTTGTAGTTCAGAGTCATATTCACTTTTATTTGCCAAGTGTGTATATAGGGAATTTGTTTGTTTGTTGAACATACTTTTTGGCTTTTCTTTGTTGGAATCATATTTTGTGTTTTATATTGCTTGTTTTAGAGCTGTATTTTTTTTATTTTATTTTTTTGTTCTATGTTGTCTGTCTGTTACTTAGATTGATGTCTGTCTTGGCCTGGACACCCTTGAAGGGTTTTTTTAAATCTCAAGAGGTTTTTCTGGTTAAATAAAGGTCAAATAAATAAATAGATAAATTTTAAAAACAGGTGAAAGAGATAACATTAACGATGGCTTAATTCCAATTAGCTTCCCAATAAGCTATTCCAGTGATGCACGATGACAGCGTCTCCCATAAGTGTTATGCAGCCATCATTGATCTTATTAAATACACCTGTGCTATTCCTACAATGACAAGTCAAAATGTCTGACATGAAAAATGTCTGTGTACTTACACATAAATAGACATAACAGCTAGGAGCAAGGACAACAAAGCTGGACAAATAAAGGTAAAACATAGACAGAATTACTGTGTACACAGGTGTGTGTGAAAGAATAGGTGTTTATATAATACTATAGAAATATAATTAAAGCACAAATACCCAACAATAAGAATAAAATAAGGATATTACATAATGACATATTCATGTATGTGTTATATGTTTATGGGTGTGTTTCTGACATATTTAAGACATGTAGTAGTTTACAGAAGTCACACTTCAGTGATCAGCATAATGCCATTATTATTATCATCATCCACTAGATGGCGAAAACCACAAAGATAGGAGATAGGAACATGTACATTTCATGATGTTGCATATTGGTTCAATAGGTGGCTAAATGCACCATTCACGCTGGTTTGTAGCTCGTCATTAAACATACAAAGAGTATTCTTGGTATTGTACTTGTCAGACAGAGTGTTTCTGGATCATGTATCATATCCAGTAAGGCAGTATATCCCCAAACCACTTCAGTGTAAGAACTGTTGGAAGTTTGGTAATAGTCTGTGTGTAGAAGTCATATTGAGATGTAATAAATGTAGAGATTTAATGTTAAGGAGACTGTGTGAAAGAACCAAAGTGTATTCTTTGCGCAATCATGCAGCATGAGGGGCTAACTGTGCAAAGAGAGTAAGTTGGGCAGAAATAACCAGAGCCAGAACGAAGAAAAGAAATAAATGTGAGGAAGTGGGTGAGATAAGATATGTAAGACAGGAAACTAAGGAGGACAAGTCAGCCAGAAAACATGAGGAATAATGCATGTTTACACACCAGAGGTTTTTGGCCTTTGTGGCGATGGTTATAAACTGTACTGCTGGAATAGAAAGAGAAAATAGAGATAATCATAGATGCAGCAAGGAGATTTATGAATTTTGTGGGTGTTAATGGAGAAAATGTACAGCAGCTTTTTAAAGAGGCTTGTAGGCTATTATTATTATTATCATTATCATTATTATTATTATTATTATTATCATTCTTCTTCTTCTTATTATTATTATTATTATCATTAGTAGTAGTAGTAGTAGTAGTACTAAAGTTTGATAACTAGTGGTGATAGTGAGATTAGTGATGCTAATGTAGAAATATACTACATTGTAAGTGGAGACCTCAGGGTAAATCCAGCAGGTGGCGGTATTGCAACACTATGGATGCCACCCGCCATTTAAACACCAAAGAAGAAGAGTCGTTACCTTATTGAGACCACCCACCACACTGTCAGGTCTGTCTGTCACATGCAGGATGGATGTCAAAAACTTATGTTAATTAATTTGCGGGCTAAATGCACAATAAGCAGCCACTCTGCGGATATTAATTAGCCTAGTATTTCATCAGCAGTGACGTCAGGTAAGACTTCCGTTGTTTCCTGTTAGCCAGCAGCCGTTGAAACTCTCTCCGCTTCACCTAGCCTCGAGGCTAAGCTAAACCTAATTAACCTTGGTTGTGTTACTGTTATGCTAAGTCAGCTGTCAGCGCAGTCACAATTGAGCTGTAAAATAAAATACCGACTATCACTTAATCTCACTATCAACACTAGTTGTCAAACTTAAGTGCTTTAGCTAAAACCATTTGAAGAAGCTAGCTGTTAGCTAACATGTTGTTAGCAGTTAGCCACCGAGGTAAGAGCCAGCCATAACCTCTGCAAAAGTAAAGGCGACATGTATGTACAGATTACGCAATACTTTGGATACCATATGTTTCAGTTATTGTTGAGCTGTTGGGAGAAATAAGACTTTAATTTAAATATCTCACAGGATGTGTTGTGAAGAATGAGGATGTGTGCACATTACTGTACCGTTAGTTTTGCATAAAAGGATGTTTACACCCAGAATACTTAAGGAGCAGTCACTTTCTGCAGTAATAGTTAAAAACAAAACAAAGAAACAAACATAGTTGTTATGTACAGGCAATGTATAGTGATAACAATGTACAACAAGCTGTATCATCAGGGTAGTGACATATATATAGTTAATTCAAAACTGCATGGGTGTCTAGAAAATAACTATTGTGTATTTAAATCTAAATCTTTACAGAGAGGTAGTTTTACACATCTACTGATGGATAATATTGCAGCAGGAGTGGGGGATATGGGGGCATTCCTCTTTCACTGTATGAATAATGTCATTATGTGATATCAACAGATATGGAGATTTTATTTATTTGTTTTATTTAACCAATGTTTAACCAGGTATGTCCCATTGAGATCAACGATGTCTTTTACAAGGTAGACCTGGCCAAGACAGCACCATACAAACAAGTTACAGCCAAACAATCACGCAATACAAGCCATAAAAGATATCCAGTAACATGTAGAAATATTAAAATGTCTACGCACAGTGACAAGGACCAAGCAATTCATTCATCCGTGTACTTATGAGAGCTATAAAATCAGACATAGAGACCACTTCACGTAGTTTCAAATCTTTTTAAAGGTTATTCCAAGGGAGCGGAGCGAAGCAGAGCACATAAAGGCTTACTTCTTCAGCTTAGTCTGAGCACCAGGAACAGACAACTAAAACTAAGTCTTGTGATCTCAGATGATAGGTACAGTCAGATCTCTGTTCAATCATAGTACAAATGTACTAAGGGAGGTTACCCAGTATGCCTTTATAGATGAACAAATATCAGTTACTGACCCACGAAAAGTCAAAGATGGCCAACCAGCTATGGAGTAAAGCGTACAGAGATAAAGAAAATGCTGCTGAAAATCAGTTGAGAAACTTTTCATGGATTAAATAACCAGAAAGAAATGGCTGATAATGTCTACCCCAGAAAGCTAAATGGTACCACATGAAGGTACATAATCAAATTGGAGCAATATTCATAATGAAATTTAATACTGCTCAGTGATATGCAACATTGACTACAGCTTTTCTACTAAGAAATACAAAGAAGATAGCTACCACAGTAAAATGGGATGTCAAAATCTCTCACAGTTGAAATTTATACTCTTAATTATTAAACTATATCAGTTATCAAAACCGTTTCCCTTTAATGTGATTTTTTTTTTCGTACATTAATGTACAGTCTGTTGTACCTCTTATATTATGTCTTCCTAATCATTGATAGATTTGGTAAAGCTCTTTCTCTTCTCCCCTGCAGGACTGTGCCAGACTCTGGATGGAGTCAGCATCCATCTCTTCATTGTCTTGTGTAGTCACACCCAGGGACCTCAGGGTTCAGGATTCAGGCCACCCTTTACACCAGCAAGAGAAGAATGGTCAAGTATTTCTGTAACAACACAGACATCAGGAGTACGTGGGACCATGTTGTCTCTGCTTTTTGGCAGAGGTACCCTAACCCATTCAGGTATAGCAATTTTGACATGGTCGGTGTTTTGTAAAGCATGTTTCAGTGTCACAAAATACAAATGTATCTTGTGATTCAGATGATGAATCACATCATTATAATTTAAATATTATTAAAAACCCTTTTGCATTTATACATTTTTAACTCAATAGAGGACCTCTGGGATGAAGTGAAGTTACAGTAGTGTTTGTAGACCTGCAGGAATCTTGTTATTGTATTGAATTGGCAATGGAGCGAGGTCGAGTGTGGTTTTGAATCCTACGAAACAAGTTAGGTGAACCTTGTGTACACTGCTTTGCATTTGCGAACTTACAGAAAAGAGCCCTCAGTCATGACTAAAGTGGAGAACTGAAAAGACACAACAGAGAAGTAAAACTAAGTTAAGCATATGCATAATTGTGTGGTCCACCTATTTTACTTTCGCTATGACTCTACCTGACAACATCACAGTCTTGTTCTTTAATATCTCACAAACATCACAGTGGCATTTGGTGCACAAAAAGTTGAATCAAGACCCCAAAAAACATACATGTTTTTTCAAGTGATTGTTTGAAAGTAGACTGCTGTTTAAAACAGCACTGAAATAAATTACAAACTGATATTAAACCTGAAAGTTAAAGGAAAGGTCCGCATTTTTTCCTAAGGCAGTCTAAAAACAAGCCACACATGCCTATATGTTCATTGACATAGATTCTGCATGCTGTCATCAGTTCCTATTATCCACATCAGCTACCACCCCCACAATAGAGTCTAATTCAGTGGGAAACACTTTATAATCCATACTGGCCATTGAAAGGCCCCCATTATCCATATTTGGACTCAAGAGTTAGTCAAATCAAGTGGGTATCCTCCTAAGTTACAGTCTTTTATAACAGAATTACCTCCTTTTTTTAACAGAGTGTTTTTTGCTGAGGTTGCTGGAAGTAAAGTGACACAAAATAGGAAATTGGTGCTATGAAAGACTCTTAATTTTGGAAGGTATCCACTCGATTTGTCTAACCCAGACGGCTGAGGCTTCCTGTTAACTTAAAATAAACATTGGAATTTATTTTCACACAAAATGATGACTGCAGACTTTGTTCCTAATCACTTACATTGGAGGGAAGGGATCTCTTAATGGCTGGTATGAACAGGAGGAATGATTACAGCAAGCAATAACTGTTTCAGTGTGGGTAACTGATCATTGTTTTCAGGCAGACTTAAAAATAATTATCATCCTGTCCTTCACCAGTATCCAGTGACTATGTAGCTGACATGGCTGTGTGTTTTTGTATCCGTCAGCACCCATGTTCTCACAGAGGACGTTGTGTACCGGGAGGTGACCGCCGACAACCGGCTCCTCTCCAGACGCCTCCTGATGAAGACCAATCGGATGCCTCGCTGGGCAGAGCACATCTTCCCCTCCGGCATGTCTCGGTCTGTGTACATCATAGAGGACTCCATCGTGGACCCCGTCAAGAGGAGCCTGACCACCTACACCTGGAACCTCAACCACACAACTCTCATGGTGAGGTGTCTGATTCTCTGTGGTTTGTTGCTTTTAGTGTCACATTTCCCCAAGTCTTTGAAGATGTTAAGATCAATATAGTTGTCAAGTTTGCATCTACCAGTATGTCTCACTGACCTTGTGCACTCAGCCGTCACTACTATTCACTTAACTGGAGCATTTTTTTTGTCTGCCTGAGTTTCTCAAGGAGGCTAAAATGTGTTTTTGTATATTTATATTGTGAAAACAATGTGTCAGTGTGTGTTCTCGAAGTGATGAACCTACAGAGAATTATCACCTGAATATGCAGCTCCCCTCGGCTTTACGAAGCGTTATATTGAGTTACAGCTAATTGTTTAGCTGTCAGGTCCACAACTTTACTGTTTTGGTTTACTCTCAAAGTTCTCATAGTGACATTTTCACCACAGCAAGCAGCTCTTTTAGGTGAAAAGGCTTTCAAAAATCCACTGTACATCACCTGCTCAGCATCACCTGATATCACTGTCAGATGTCACTACAGTTGCAGAATGCAGTCACATACCTCTTACCGCCCTCAGCAGTTACACAATGTGTTAAATTCTAGCAAATACTGATTGTACAAGAATCATGACTCTTGTTTAAGACGATATGAACTCAATTCATGAACTCAAAAAAGATCTGTGTCATTATTAGTGTTGCAGTTTCTCTTCTCGATACTGTAAACTATGTCGGCAGAGTAGAAAATACTGAACCCTGCCATGGCTGCACAGTGCAGACAGGTGTTGCTGCTAGCTGCAGAGGTGGGAAGGGAATGTTAATCTAACCAGACTGATCTTCAAAGGAGTCGAGCGTTTGAATGCAGTTCAGATGTAATAATCTCCCAGGAAAGAAGCACCTTGACATGACTTGTACATTATGCGGCTTTAAGGTGTGCTATTTTCACACCCTCACTGCTGTACACTTGTGTTCTAGTCCACTGCAGTTTGACACATAATCGGAAGTTAAGCTAACTAACTGCTCATGGCTAAAAGAAATGGTCAAACAGTGATCAAAGCATCCATAAATTGCCACTTTTCTCTTCCTTTATGTTAGTCTGTTGAAGAGCGTTGTATTTTCCAAGACTCAGTGGAGCAGCCGGCCACCACCAGGCTGAGACGGGAGGCGTGGATATCCTCAAACGTTTACGGCTTCTCCAGACCTATTCAGGTACTTTTACCCTTCCTGTGCAATAAGCAAGCTTAAATCAACATGTTAAACTATTCTGATTGTAATTTATATTTTAATCATTGTATCGTTTTTCCTTTCTTTTTTTTGTTTGTACCAGTATACTATTTATTATTAGTTGTATTATGCCATGGCTCAAATTGCTGTGAGCTAGAATGAGCTAGATCGTCCAACAACTTAAAACGATGTGCAAATGTTTCCCAAGAAATATGACCCCAGTCTGCCAGACGGAGGCGCTGAAGTAACAGCCCAAAAATGCAATTTTGGAAGGTCACACCAGGCCCAAACCACAACTCCGATTGGCTTGAAATTTGGCATGTATATCCAGCTGAATCAGGGTGTCCGTGAGGTCTAAAAAAACATTGAATTTAGTATTCTCAAAAGAAGAAACTCAAAAGTATAGAATTTTGATGTCAAGGGTCTTAAATTATTTTCTTGTCCTTTCTTTGGATTAAATAAATACCCTAACATCTAAACTGTCAAATGTATAAAATGTTTTGTGTGTGTATGATATGTGTGCACGAGCGCTGTCAGCTGTCAGGAAAGAAATTAAAACGTCTTGCACCTGGCTACTAACAAGCTAACATTAGCCCGGTGCATCGTCCATAGTGCAGCCTGTGAACCTGCAGGCTTATTGTGGTTTTAGGCCAGCTCTTTGGGCAGAGTTGGGTGGGATCCTGGTAACCATTTCGGACCATGGCTCATGTACTTTGAATGACGAAATCAATGCTTTATTAAAAACTGACTTGGAAATCGCGGCTTCTTTTGCACATGGAAGCAACAAGTTGGCTTACATCACCATATATTTACCAATTTAGAGACAATGAATCTCAAGTAGTAACGTATAATATTCCTCTCTGAGATGTAGTAAAGGACAAAGTGTTTTAGATTTGGACTAAAATAAAACATTAAAAAAACCTTTAAAGTTCAGTCAGTAAGTTTTTCCTGTCAGCTGCTGGTTTCTAGTGTTTTAGCCCCATCTAGTGGACACTGGCAGGAACTACAAGCAGAGCAGCAGATACAAATACGCAGATTAAAACATGTTGACAGTTTTTTCCTCTAATTTTGTTACTTTAATTTAAATGTATTCATTTAAAATACCAACTTAACCCTTTCAATTTAATTTTATGTATTTATTTTTCAAAACAAAATCCCTTTATTTAAGTTTATTTAAAAAAATTTTTTAATTTATTCATTAAAAATACTAAAAATTTTGTATTTATCAGGGTTCAAGTCCCAAAGGGACAAAACCCTATTGAGTTTGTGCCAGTATGACTCTAATTGGCCACATGGTGGTGCTGTAATTTATGCCCCAAAAACGACATTTTGGAAAGGCTATGCTCCTCAGACAATAATTACAACTTACTTAAGATTTGGTGACCATATTCAGCTAATTGTGCTAAACAAAAAATGGCTCTGGGACAATAGAAGTCCGCCATGATGGATTTTTTGCTAATTTGTGTGATGAGAAAAACACAATGGGACATCTTTTTTAGATTTTGACTTGATCAGCACCACAGTTTGTATACATAGATATACATTTCTATCACAAATGAGCAAGATCGGATGCAAAACATGTACGCCATACAAACAAAAAGTCTTTGCAAAGGGCTAGGCTCAGCAGTAAATTGGACATAACTCATTAATGATTGATCCCATCATCATAAATCTTGGTACATATCCTGAGTACATGTTTAGGACCTACAAAAGCATTTTGAACAAGACCTATTGGGGGTGCCACAAATACCAAAGATATGTACTTCAGTAACCGGCGAACAGGATATCCCGGATATGAAGTTATGGTCCACATGCTGTGGCCTCTTAAGCATATTTGCTATGTTATGCCTTTGCTCCATTTGCTGTGAAACATAACGAGCTAGAGACATGAGACTTGGCACCACAGTTTGATTTGTGGGTCATAGTATGGGCAGTGGAGGCGTGGGAGCCTGTGTGTAAATGCCAAAATAAAGAAGTGGGAGATTTGAGGAGAGAAGTGAAAACTGTGCCAAAAACATGACAGATATGTTATTATTAGATGTGCGAGATGCCAGGCTCGCTTTGATATCCCCAGAGATGAGGAGAGAGAGAGAGAACTGTTGGCTAAGTGTTGTTTTTTTAAACATCTCTCCCATATGAAGCCATTTCCTGTTCTGTCTTTTCCCAGGAGTTTGGATTGGCCCGATTCAAGAGCAACCAGGTGAAGGCCATGAAAGGGCTGGAATACGCACTGACCAACTTACAGGGTACGTATGCATCACCAGCAGGAACGGGAGAAAAGTGCAAGAGAAGGAGAAGAGGGAAACAAAACAGTTTATTTTTAACTGCCGCTATTTCTGGAGAGGAGAAACTCATATGAGAAGTAACAGTAGAACATTCGTCTGCAACACATTGCGTACTGTTTATTTTACTTGTGGTTTTATTTATACTTTTTCCATACTTTGCATACACAGCTAAACATCCCCATGACATGTTTTAATGAATCTAGTGAAAGTAAAACACTAAAGTAGCTCGCCCCAGACATTTAAATGTTAACATTCCCCCTCCAAAATTTGAAGCAGTAATTAGTCTGGAATTGGAAAGTTGTCACCATTTCCTACCCTTACCCTGTGTTTGTCTTAGAAACAGGTTAATTTAAGCAGTTATTGTTGCTTAGAAGCACCATGTGACTACAGGGGGATATGAAACCATGGCAACTGCAGTGACAAACAGCTTGGATTTCTGAATTTAGGCTCAGACCAAAACAATTACGCAAGTCAGTGTTGCATAGACAAAATAGAGTAGAGCAGGCCTTATGAAAGGCAAATAAAAAGCCTATCCACCATGAGATGAAAAGGCGGAAGACATTACTAAGTCTAATTAAAGGTGCTGTCTGTAAAATATGGGTCTTCAGTAGCAAATAGTGGCAGCTGTAGAGAACTACACCATCTGCAAATATGTGTCCTACATCACAGCTAGGACTGAAACTAACCAATATTTTCATTATGGATTAATCTGTTCGTTCTTTTCTTAATTTAATTGGTTGTTTGCGCCATTAAATGTCAGAAAGTAATAAAGAGGAAGTCTCAAATTTCCCAAAGCTCAAGTTGGCACATTTAGTTTCATTGTTTTGTCCAGCCAATACTCCAAAATACAAAGATATTTGATAGATAGATGCTTGGAGAAGTCTTGGTTGAAAGAAAAGACAGACAGACTTCAAGTTTCTTTATATCATTAAGAAGACAAAATGTTTGAAAAGTCAATTTTAATCATGTCAGAGGTGAATTTAAATGATAGGAAGCCATTAGATGAGAAATGTAGTGCCTTGTTTGGCAGCGGGCCGTGACGAGCGAGGTGTGTGTTGTGCTACAAACTGTGTTGTGCTGATGCAGCGTACTGTCGTCTGAAAGGACATTGTTGTGATTCTGTCCCACTGCCCCTTTGTTGATGGCACTGCAGGGATTGGGATCAGGCTGAGCGTTGTGGTAAGTATGTTAGCAGTGGGGCATCCATCTGCCACCCCAGGCCTTGCCCGGGGTTGTCACATGATGCCGTATAAGAGCGTCACACAGTAGACTGTGTAGCTGAGGTAGTGACTGTCTCCCATTGTGTGCTGTGTAGGCAGATAGACACCAAATGTGTCTGGAAAAATCAATGTGAAAGTGACTCAAAAAGTTGATGTAGCAGTGGTATAGAAGTAGATAGTAGTTTAGTTGACCCTTGGATAAAAACTGAACCTGAGTCCTGACCTTTGTATTAGAGGAAAAATAGTTACAGCAGCTTTTTAGTTACAATCTAGCTGAATTCTATTCGAACAAAACTAGGCCATAACTTAGTATATGAAATGTTAGATGGCTTTTATTTTGAAACAGGAAGTGGTGGCATTCACTCAGTAACAGACTTCACTTTGCTCCGCTGTTGTGGTCCAGCCCAAATATTCATGTAAATACCCGTCTAAATGAGGAACAACAGGGTTCCCACCATCATGGAAAACCTGGACTAGTCATGAAATTTCACAATCCCATTTTCCAGGCCTGGAAAAACTTGTTAAATTAGGAAAAGTCATTGAAAGTTATGGAAAAGTCATGGAATTTTGTTGTGTGTAATGACATTAATTGTCACAGTACTCTTCCATGGATAACCTTCTGTGTAATGTAAAAAACATAAGCAACTATTAGATTGGAAAAGGTTACTGTTTAGCTTTCATGTTATAATTAATATTTGGAGTTAGTATACTAAACAGTTCTGCTCGTATTATACCTTGTGAATGGTCATTAAATTTCATTATGGGTTCTTGAAAAGTCACGGAAACGTTTTGAAATTGGGTCCATGAAAAGATGTGGGAACCTTGGAACAATACACTGAGACACAGTAGCATAGCAGAAGGGCTGTGTATACCAGAACTGTACCCACTTATCATGAACACACCCCTCCCTCTTCTGCTCTGGTCGAGGTTTACGTCCCCATGTGACTACTAGAGGCCGCTCAGCCATCAGCCACAATCCTAGCCAAGTTTTGATAATGATAGATTGTAAAACGATCTATGAGTGCAGATTAATTGGTCAAACCGATGAACCGTACTGGTTCTTACTAAAAATGGCGGCACCTGTTCTGAAATTGTAACCCCTAATATTCAATAATACTACTCATACATTTTAGAGCTTGTGTGTCATACAGACATGGCTGCATGAGGTGATTTCTATTTCCTCTGTCCAAAACTGCAATATGGCCACGGCTGGCTAGTCAGCTAGGTAGCTTGCTAATTTCACCGTGCTATCATGCCACAGCGGTTATAGGAAATAAGGAATACAGTAATGCAGGACTGTCAGCCCCTGTCAGTTTCGAAAGAGCAACGGTCAGTGTGGAAACGCCAACACTTGCATCATCACTCAGTCACTCTGTCAGTGTCATGTATAGGACTGGATTCACATGCTGCGGTCCAGCCAAATACTTCTAAATAAGAATATGTCCCCTCTCTATACACTGATACTTTGATTTTAATGTTCTTACCAGGCTGACATCAGAATAAAGTGAAAGTCCAGCACAAAGTGTTGTAACATCAGAATGCAAAATGAAAATGCACATTTTGTATATTAAGCTGTGATGTGGGGGTTTAAAAATAAAAAATAGTCACACAATACATTTGTATTAAACAAACTGTGTTATGCAGTAGAGGCAAACTTTAAAAATAGTGTCAGTTACTGCAGTTTGCCATTGTATGGCAGTATAGTCAATGATTACTGGTGATGCAGAACAGAGGGGACCTCTGGTGTTGGTGCTTCAGAGATTGTAATTTTTTACCTAGTTGTTTTTGTTTAACTGTCAAATTAAATAAAAAAAAAGAATTCTGACTAGACAGAAAAGAGTGTGAGGGAAAGGAGGGAGAGAGCCATGTCACGTGTGCACCTGGGTCTGTGTGCCGCTACTGGCAGCAGATCTGGATGGCAAATTGAAGTTTATGCTGCCATTATAGATCAGATTGACTGTCAGACACAATCCTCACCTCACAGGTCCTCACACAGTATCTAAACATTTGGCTCAGCTCTTCCTCTGATCTCTTGCTATGAATAAATTTAGTTAATTCAGTTAATTTGCATCGCAGCTCACATCAGCTAGAAAGGCCCTAAGTAAAAGCTGATGCAAAACTATGAAATGAGTTCACTGAAGTTTTTAGAGAAACTGGTGCTCATAATTATACTGGTTAAGTATTATTATATTACAGGTGAGGATTCAGTCTCTTCTCATAACAGTCGTGTATTAACGTCTACGGTATAGAGCTGAATGTACTTCAGTAATCTGTGTAATGCCAGAATCCACTGCTAAAATTATACATTCAAGTGGTAATTAGACGAGTTGATGTAGAATATCACAATTTAATTTAAACAAACGGTATATATGAACCTAATTATAGAACCACATAAGACCAACTGTATTTGTTATACACTGTAATACAATGAGTAGTTTATCAATCCCTCCAGGATTTCACAGTATTTTTGGGGGAAGATTGTTGCAGCCTTAAATGCCTGATTTCATGACAGCTTTTCTAAATAAACTGCAGTGCATGTTGCAGTGTTTTTAAGCATTTTTTGTGCAATGAAATCATGGTAGCAAGTGAACTTTCCAAAATGGCTGTTTTTATAATTCATTAGAAATTGAACGCAGCTTGTTCAAGTGAGAATAAAACCACACTGTTCTGAGTTTGTGGTTTACAGGCTACTACGCTGTCACCACTAATCTAACATGCCTTCATTGTTTCAACACATGCAGTAGATCTGGATACATGGGGATTTGTCTTGTCTTTGTCCTCGTGTTTCAGCCATTCTTCAAGTGTGTTTTGCGATACAAAAGTGTCGCCTTGCATGATCTTAGCAGTATTTTTTGTTAGTAAATGTGAGACATCCGTGTCACACATGTCTGCGTCTTAACAACCAGAAAGAAGGAAGTGAGTTTGATGACATTATGCGGGGAATTGCTATCATTGGTGAAACTCACAGGAAACTATGATGATGCAGATGATGCTGCAGATTCCCAAGAAAATTTGCAAGGTTGCGCAGAATTCACAGGCTTGGTTGAATTTGCATTAATTGTTGCAGTCGCGACATCGCAACTTCCTGTCACCAAGTGCCACCTGGGTCTGCACACCAGTTCACTCCCTCTGGACAGCAATACTTGACAAACTCTCCACAGTTTTGGGTTGTGGAATCACCATACTGCACCAGACTATGACACAGTCAGCAAATCAAACATACACAAGAAATCCACTCAGGCTTAGCGAGGAAAAGGAAGCATGTTAAGATCTGCTGCTAATACGTCACCTCTCAGCCAAGGGGTAAAGTTATTTGTTTCTCATGCATTTAAAGCCAATTTGCATTATTTGTTTGTTTTGTTTTTATCGTTTAAAAGATTAGGCAATGTAAAAATCATCTGTATGAGCAGTCAACACATTTCGTTGCTTTCTGGCCCCAACAAATCCCTGAGATCCACACCCTCCAGTTATTGTCAGTGTCCAGACACGAAGAGGTTTCTCCTCCCTGCCAGCATGCAGCAGCCTTCCCAGGAAAACGTGTATCTGCTCCTTTGTCTGAAGGAAGCAGCTCGTCTTTGCTCTCTTTCCGTCTCTCTTAAGGTTTAGGGAAACTGCTGTGTTGTATTGTGATTGTGGTTGTTGTTCTCAGACGAGGTACTTTAAGTTTGAGGGTTCACAGTCAGGTCAGGCACAAATAGACTGTGCAGCCCGTGGCAGTGAATCCAGAGACGGTTTCTAACAGCCTACAGATGTGGGTGTGCTCACTTTAGGACTCCTTCAAAAACCAGTTTCTCTTTTTGGAGGAAATCTGTAATAATTTAGTCACCTTTCCATTGCATGTCATTATGTAAAGCCTCTTTCAGGCATTAACCTCTTTACATAAATGTGATGGTATCTACCTGACATGTTGGTCTCATGTGTGAATAAGCACCTGAGTCACTTGTATGCAAAAATCATTAAAGCAATCGTAACTCGTCAGACCTAGAGACATTTCTGTAACACTTTGAACACAGCTGAATTCAACACTGTTTCTCACTTGGGTATCATCTGCTGTCATAAAAGAAATCACCTTAATAAATGATGGAACACTGAATTAGCCGATGTGACATTCTTAATGAGATTCTTCTCATGTCAAACCACTCTCAAAAAATCATTTTACCCTTCCAGTGCGACCGGGAAAAAGAGGTTAGAAAAAAAAAACCTTGTACCACCACAGTAATTATTAGACGAGCTGCCTTCCTTCTGATATTTTCAACTTTCATTCATGCCAGCAGCATCAATGAATAAATGAATTTCCAGTGAAACCCAAAAACCAAGTTGCAGCTTGTTTGTGTGCTGTGGGACGTTCTGAAATACAGGCAGGGTGGAGCGTCTGTTGCATTCAGGATGTTCATTAATTAAACCATCAATAGCAAAATATGTTTTAAATTCCATAACTGATGCAGACTGTGAAAAACAGAAATCATTTTTGTTCCTATCATTATACTTTTCACAGTGTCTGCAGCTCCACATTTAAAAGTCTTAAAATTTAGTTTTATAAATATTAGAATATGTGAGTCGTGCTCTTCTGTTTCAAAGTCCATATTTCTGATGGTACAAATCTTTAAAACTACCGCTGACCCTAACACGGTCTTTTTACTTTATATCTGCACTAAACTTTTGGCAAAATGTAGATTAAATTAACTCAACTCTAATAACTCAACTCCATATTCCTACATAAAACCTACTTCTGCACACAGCTATGTACGTACATGCTTTTATATGATGAAGAAAAAGTTCACACTTCAAAAAGTCAGTCTTAAAGTTTCCTTTTTTAGCGTACAGCTGTTTGCTAACAGTAGTAAGTTTCCTCTCATGCACCAAGTGCCAAATTTTTCACTCCCACAGGGCATTTTTCTGAAAATGTCGTCTTGTCTTGTCTTAACAAAGCCATAAGGAACATTTAAGCAAAAGTCACGTATGTCTGAACAACAAAAAGCCATCACTTCAGCAGTTTAAAGCCAGTAATGTTGTGTACTCCATTTCTGAAAAGGACTTTAAAAAACATAATGTTCTCATTCTGTCCCGTCTGTCTCTCTGGACTCTCACAGGAGAGACGCCCCAGCGGCTGCTCAGGGACACAGTGAAGGACGCATCAGAGAAGGCCAAGGAGGCAGCCAAGAGCCTGGCCTCAGCTGCTGCTGTCCCGCAGAAACCCCAGCAGTACGTGTGACGGGACAGCGTGTGCAGCACCGTGCAGGTGACACGAACTCAACACGATGCCTTTTGATCGCCTCGATCATTTCAACTGGACTGAAGTTCTCTGGGATCTCGTCGATCTCTGTCTCTTCTTTCATACGACGCAGCCTCTCTTCTCTGCGGTTAGACTTTTATCTTTCTCTTTCTTTGTTCTCAGCTCTCTGTCTTCATCAAATCTCAGGTCCTGAGCCTTTGTCTCATACATATTGCCTTTGTGGAAACGTTCAGATTGTGACCAGCAGCACCCTTTAATGCTGTAACGGTGTCAGGTAGAAATGCACATTGTCATGTCTTGCCATATTTGTAATGATCAAAACAGCTACTTTGATTTAATAAGCTTATTTTTGTGTAAAATGATAAATCAGTTTGGCACATCAGAATTTTGTCAGTTTAAAGGAAGTGTGTGTAGGATTTAGGGGGATTTAGTGGTGAGGATTGCAGATTGCAACCAGCTGAAACTTCTCCGGGTTAGAATTCCTTCAGTGTTCATTGTTCAGGAGCTACATTATCCGCAGAGGTCGCTTCCTCTCCAACACAAACAGACCAGATTCTCATTTATAAACATTGCGTACACACAAAATGAGGCCTGAAAAAGGCGTACTTGATGGGGGAAACTTTGACCCATGCTTACGAACATTCTTGAGACGGTAAATTGGTGACTCAGATGGTGAGGTGGAAGCCTGATTGTGTAAATTGTCATATCTTTTGGTGCACACCATTTTTGGCCTATGTTCGTAGGTACATTTTTAGTATGGATCCTATGCACTGTTTTATAAATGAGACCCCAGATGATTTAAACTGGCAAAGAGCACAGAATAAAGCAGTTTCATGGTTAAAACATAAGTGTTTTTCCAGTGCTGTGTATCATACAGGGGCTGCTAACGATGCTAACTGATGCAAAAATGTGAATGGCCACGAGAGCCAGTGTTTGGTTTGTCCTGTCTTGGCTACTGTAGAATCATGGCAATCCAACATGGCGGATTCAGTGGACGAGGACCTGCTTCCTGTTGTCCTCATTCTAAAGTAACAAAGACACAATCTTATTTCAATTACAGTTCTTATTGTCGGGTGATTATGCACTAAAGAAAGCATACTTACTGTATTGTATTAAATTTCTGCCAATATATCCCCCTAAATCCTACACACTGGACCTTTAATATATTTATCATTCATTGTAACACTAATAGTTTCTTATGCTTTTGGCACTGGTCCAGCTGAAAGTTCACATTAGACCAAATCATAACACTCTGATGTGTGTCTTTAATTTCACATAATCAAGGAAGGTTGAGGATCATGATTTGATGGTTGCACGCAAGAGATACTGAAACAGTAAATCTATACTGGTCAATTTCCTCATGATTTCTTCCCTTTTTGACATTTTCCAGATTTGAGACTGAACTAAACTTCGTATTTCAAACACACAGTGTATTCTGTAATATTGCGCACAATGAATATGAATGCGTCTGGTTAGTCACTGCCAGAACAGCCTATACTGAAGCTTTGATAATCACAAGATACCAAAGTGACTTATATGGGAAAAAAATCAGACTGAGCAAAGTTTTCACAGCTCTGTGCTCAGATTTACTCTGTAATTAGCCTTCAAGTGTGTAACTGTGTGACTGAGGTGCGTCAGTGAAAATATTATAGATATCAATCTGCCTGTTGATATTAATCTTAAGTCGTGATGAAGATGAGACAGTATTGTTAAGATTTAAGTGATTGCATTCCCTTTTAGCTGGAAATTTCTGGATTTTTCTGCTCTGAGACTTGAATTATAGTTGAATATAATATATATTATATATTCGTGGGATGTATTTTGAAGGAATATTTAGCATATGTGATATGAGCTGTATGTGGATTTGTTTTAACCAGAAAGTAAGATGTGTAAAAACAGAATCAATTTGACCTTTAAATCAAGAATTGAATATTTTTGTTAATCATTTAAGAACATTTTCAACCAAACCTGCAAGTTAAATTTGATTGTTTGTTGTCTTATGTTTTCTCATTTTCAGCTTTAATAAAATTTAAGTTATTGATTTAATTTTCGCTCTTTGTTGACTTCACCAGTTCACATTCCTCTGCTGCTACAGTGCCAAAACATGAACTCTGACCTTTAAAAACTAGTTAATATTCCAGACGACAGATCAGTTTCACAGCTGCACAAACCAAACAGGAAGCCCTTTAACATCTGAACATCTTTATCTGCATATTCCCACTGCTTTGTTCTGCTGAAGGTTGTCGCAGCGCTCCATTACCCCCACTCACTAAGCAACGTGTAGTTCCACACACTGAACCGTTCAACAGACAATAATGAGACTGCTGCTGCAACTTTTTTTGTATAAAACATTTTAATTATATTACAATGAGAGAATACACAATACCTTCAAGTGTTTGCTAAAATGTAGCCAGCACCAGGTAGTCGTGTACACACGCTCGCACACACACAAAAAAAAAAGGAACTTATATAACATCTTCTGGATGCATATTACACATCCGCTAAAAAGGAACATATTCACAGGTCTCTGGCACAGAACTCTCCCTAATCTGCACAGTATGTCAGCCCAGACAAACTCCCCACCATCCTCCTCTCAAGCTATAAATCCCAGCCAGCTCGTTCTCCTCTACAGCCTCAAGGTTCACGTGGGTACAAAAGATAATGCTGGGGTGACACCCGTTTGACTCAGAGGTGTCACCCAGTACGTAAAGATGCAAAATAAGGAGAAAAGACATACAGGCGGGGCGGGGGGGGGTCACCGGAAGGCGGGATGCTGACCTAAAGCCTACAGGAAGTTAAAGCTATTCATCTGGAACTACATAAAGGAACTAATCATTCAGCATGGAAGGTTTAAAAGTGACTATGTATTTGGCAGGCTTAATATTTCATGGAAGTCATTGTGTCGATTTATAGAAGCACCATTACGCAGCAGGTTCAGGTACAGGATGGTGTCGTCTGCGCGCGGACTTTACCCTGATTTCATCCCACCACTCTCCTTTTCTCAGCCTGCCGACTTCCCCAAACATCACATGGTGCTTTTGTGCTCTTAGAAAACCCAACACATGCTGAAGTAAATCTCTGTGCAACAGCAACATAAAAGCAACTATCAAACCTTGTCTGTGCTCGCTCTGACGACTCTTAAATTACGCTTTGATCTCACTGGGAGTTCAATGAAGAGCCCCTTCAGATTCTTGACATAAATGTTTACCTTTTTGCAATTGAAGAAAGAAGGGGGGTTTAAAAATAAGAGCAACTGTGATTGATTTAACAGTTTCAACGAGTACAATCTCTGCTTTTTTTCTTTTTCTTTTCTTAAAAGAAAGTACTTTTTCCAAGGCACATCATTAAAAGAATTTCCATAAACACTATCCCGTCCCACATCCAAACTAAATGTTACCGCGTCCAGTCAGCCGCTCAAAGCCACTCTCGCTCTGAGCGTGTGCTATGTACATTTTTCAATGATGCCACTGAATGATTATAATCTCATATCTGGCCCTCATCCCATTCACTCTGTCGCTGTTCCCCGCCGGGAGGTTCTGTGCAAGAGAAGAACTTTATGCCATCAATATGGTTTTCGCTTAATTGTTCGTTTGACCAACAAACTGCAAAAGGACATTTCTGATACAGTCATGTACAAATCCTTTGACATTAATGTAAACTCTCAATGACAAATAGAAAAAAAAAAACTTTTTTTGCCCTCCTGCAGTGTATGGAGAGAGTGCAGATAGGAGGTAAAATTCATCAAAATAAAATATAGAGTTGGTCACCACCAAAAAAAAAAAATGCACCACAGAGTCAAAAGCAAAACCACCTGCTTGTCTTTAGAAACCCTGCCCGCCCACCCTCCCTCAGAAAGCACACGATGGTAATATTGCTGTGTCTCAAGAGGTCCCCTGATCAATGGGTAACACTTTTTTTTTTTTTTTTTTTCTTTGGGACGGACCACTGGGAGCGTGGAGGATTACACCTTTTTAAGCTGCCATCGATTGGATTATTCTTTTATCGCTCCTCTCCCAGTGACTCCCACTGAACAAACACATAGTCAACATACAATAATAGTAAAATGACAAAAAAAAGAAGAAACACGCTTCAAGCCCAGAAGTTTTGAACCCCGTTGGTGACCATTCGGGGCGACTGGAAGCTGCCATGGGAGTTTACCAGTGTGTTTTGTTTTTATTTTTCTGTGACAGAGGCGGCACTGGCAGATGAGCGGGCATCGTAGAGGGTGGGGAGTGCCTGGACAGGGTGCACAACAACAGCGGCTGCTCAGTAGAGACTAAAGGGGCTTCTTTTTTTCTTTTTTTTTTTATTCATAATGAGGTCTTGTCTTCAAGTGCCCCTTGCTCATGGAAGTGTTTTGGCATGGTAAGGGTTGAAATCAAAGCTTTCAGCCCCGCCAGAGGGAGGATGAGATTAAGAGGAGGAGAGGAGAGGGGTGTGACCTGAGTAGGGACCGAGGGCGAGGAAGGAGCGGGGAGGAGGAGGAAGAGGAGGGAGGTCGAAGGCTCACCAAGGCACAGAATGACAGCAGGAGAGTCACCCAAGGGAGAGGGGCCAGTGTATCAGCTCCCCTGCCCCCACTCTCCCTTCAACAAGCCTGACCTCATGTCTGTCTGTCTCTCATATATTTATATATATATTTATATATAGATAGATATACTCACTCTTTTTTGTCTTTTCATTACAAGAGAACATTTAGGAAAATATAATACAAAATTTAATACAAGAAATATAGACTACACTGGCTAATATCACTCTCAGTGACACGTAGCTTCTTTTGTATGCGACTTTTTTGTTTTCTTTTGAGTCTTTTTGTAGGTTTTTGATTTTTTTTTGTTTTCAGGTCAGACCTGTCATGGTGGGCCGGCCCTTATTTTGTCTTTTTTTAAAGTGTTCGGAAGCCAAGCTCTAAAGACTGCCAGAGACTGAGGCCTAATGATTATTAAATGGTCAGAGAGCGACAGAAGCGCCTCCTCCGTCGATAGTGACTATTGTGCATAAGTTACAGACAAGTTAGAGAAGAAGAAACGTTGTCTACGTTGGTCTTCAGCAGTGCCCAGAAGCTCCGGAAGTAGGTAACAGATAGCAGATAGGAAATTAAGATTATTAGTCCAACTGGATGTTAATAGTTTGGTAAGTTAGTTACAATGAATGCCTCTACAGAGAACAAATCATTAGAGCTGGCCCTCTTTTTTTTTCCTTTTAAACATTTTTTCTCCATTCACAGGTTTGACTTGTTAATCAGAACATCCTGACACACGTGAACGCTCCTTGAAAAAGTGACAAAGCTGTAGAGAAACACGAATTCTGAGTAAATGGCACTGTGGGCAAAGATAAGGATCTATTAGTAAAAACGAAAAAGGGGTGAACTTCCCCTTTTTCTGCAGGTCCGCTCTCTGTAAGCACCCACTGGCCGTCTACAGGGTAAAAAAAAAGGGTAAAGAAAAAAAAGTCTCCCGTAACACCTCATGGTCCACCAGAATTATTTAAACACTCAGAGGAAGCACCCGCCTCTCGTATTTATTGCTACATCAATTCGCTACTGAGAAGGAATCACAAGATTTGAATGGTTTAAGGAATAGAGTTTTTAGTTATGAAGCAACTCCTTTTTTTTTTTTTTTGATTGACATAGTAGTCCATCCACACCATAGGGTGGTATAGTGTAGTGGTCAGTAGTGTGGAGTAGTGGTTAGGCAACCCAACCAGAGGGAGACATGAGGGTTTGGACAGTAACTGTACATCTATATACATTCTTTCTTCTCTGCTACAGCTCTGTGACTTTTTCAGTTTGTGTTTAGACAGACGTCTGCCAAATCTGGGAGTGAAGATGTGACTTTGTGTGCAGAAGCAGGTCCAAGAAATGCCTGTTTTAGGGCACGCAGTCTGCTGCAGATCCTAAACAGCTGAAAAATTAAAAGAGTAATTTGACATTTTGGGGGGAAAAGCTAGCAATCAGTTAGCTTAGCTTAGCATAAAGACTGGGAATTGGGGGGGAGACAGCTCAGCACAAACATGAATAATTATATTCCCCAAAATGTCAAACTATTCCTTTTATCTTTGTCCATTTTTCAGCAAACGTTTTCAAGGAAAGTGCAGGACTTCTGCAGAAGCTACTCCTGTAAATCTTATTGTGTAAAAGGGAGAATCTGTGTGATGTAATTCAGTGATGCAAATATTGCATAACAAACAGATGTACTTTGCCTTTTACATCACAGACGTCTTCGTCCATGTGATGCTGCCTCACAGAAATAACATGAAGCTTATATTTAGTTTTTGACCTCTCTTAAACTCCCTCGCTTGTTCTTTCTCTCTTTTACGCACACACACACACAAGCGCACTTTCTGAAATTCTGATTAACGAGTCAAAGCTGTCCACCACACCACAGAAGTCCCCATTTAAACCACAAACTCTGCTCTGCTCTCTAGTCTGCGGCAACACTAGGTAGAGGGGTTGTGAGGGCAGTGGGAGGGCAGGGCGTGTGAGGAGGGGCAGGTTCAGGCAGGTTACAGTAGGGTGAGGTAGGGTCAGGGGTCAATGGGGGGGGGGGGGGGGGGGGGGGGGGGGGGGGGGGGGGGGGNGGGGGGGGGGGGGGGGGGGGGGGGGGGGGGGGGGGGGGGGGGGGGGGGGGGGGGGGGGGGGGGGGGGGGGGGGGGGGGGGGGGGGGGGGGTGTCAGGAAGGCTTGAGTGGCATTTCAGCCCCATGTGCTTCCTGGAGAGCCAGGGCCAGGAAAGCAGAAACAGGTTCACTGCCGCTGTGGACCGGTCTGATGTAGGTAGTGGGCGGCACTGGTGATTGCGAATGGTTCGGGGGAAGGTACAGGTGAGGGCGAGGGAAGCATGGGCGAGGAAGCTGGTGGGGAGATGGATGGCCGCGCGGTGTCTTTAACAGTGGTGCGGCTGCAGTCTGTGGGAATGTGTGGCTGTGTAGCTGGTGTCGCTGGAGCTGCTCTGGAGGCTGTAGTGGTCCTCCTCCTCGCCGTCGCTGATGCTGTCCACGCTGTCCGCCTCGCCAGGGGTGAACTCCATGCCCTCGATGTCCACCTCTGTGCGCAAAGAGAAAAATACACAAGGTTATTTTCGGCACTGTTCGGAAAACAGAACAAGTGAGGGGAAACTGTTTATTTCCACCCAACTGTGGGCATATTTATTAGGGAGCCTGCAGCGCCTGTGGATTAAACCCGGATTTAGGGAGCCATTAACTCTGGGCAAACAGGCAGATCTTTGTGCTCCCACAGCTAATCCTCATCCATTGATAAACAATTGCATGTGTGTTTACCTCATCCAGGATTAATAAACAAACTGTAACAGTCCATACTAAGTAATTCAGGGGAGTGTGTGACACCAGTGAGCAGCAGATTGGCCCTTTAAGCTCGGGTTGTGTTTGAAAAGAAATAGATCATAAGACCCTGCAAGGAAAAAGTGTTTACAGCTGTTCTGAATGGCCATCCCAGAGAGAGGTGAGACTATGGATGTATAAACAGACCTGGATAAAGTGTTGGAGGCGGGCCTTGTTCATTCTTATGAAAGTTGCTCAGTGCATGAAGCCAAAAAAGCTGATTTCCACGATATGAAATTACCCAGATCCTCTGCATCGTGGGGCCCATAAGAGCAGGCACACCGGAGATTTATGGCAACTGAGCAGCTAACTTTCAGTTTAGCCCTCAGCTAACTCAAATGAAGGTAAAATGATTTAATGGTGCAGCTCTCCTAGACCTTAGGATGGTGAAATGCGCCATTTTACAGGGACTGTGATGCTCAGATAAATTTATCAACTGGTTAACAGACATCTCTTTTACAATGTAAGTCTGTCCCGGAAGTTTCATGTTTGGCCACTATGTCAAATTGGCATTGACCCGTGCTGTTCCTTGGGGCCTGTGTGACACATGATGAATCATTTAAACGTGGATGATATCAGTGCACCTTATTAAACTGCCTTTCCTGGAGGGCATTCATAAGCATCTTTTACAAAGTTGTTGAAGGTGAAAATGACACACCCTTATTTTGCTTCGCTGTTCAGTATAAAAGGTACAATCACAGAATGGGGGGGCAGAGTTGTCTCGCCTTTAAGCTAGCAGCAGAGGTAGTAACAGCGCCAAACTGACGTCTTTGTAAAAGGGACAGCTGGCAGCATGGGTCAGGTGTCACATTTTGAGGACGTGTTATATGAAAGACCCTCTACCGGGAGATTTAAAAAGCAGCAAGCAGCAGTTAGCAGCTAACTCAAAGGAGAAGAACAACCAAAATTGTCTGCAAATTGGAGAGACAATAGCATCCAGGAGCAACTTTTACTTTCAATCAGAGGGCATAATCAGCCGCCATTTGACAGGGGAGGTAAATGACTGTTATTGCCATGTTATGCCGTTGTTATTGTTTAGAAAGCACTGCCCGACGCATGTGTTATACGTCACACTAGACGCTGACCCTGCTGTGTTACATGTCAAACCTGTTATGTCTTTTTTGCTTCTGGAACGCTTGCATGCCATCTTAAATCAATCACTGGGGCGGCATTATGCCACCATTGTTTGGTTCTGTGTAAAAAGGCAAAGCCAGCGTAATGAAGGGACTTGGTTGCGGCCCTATCGCAGGATCTCTGTATGAAAAGTAAATAGCTGTGTAAAGAATGAAAAGACAGAAGATAAAACCCTGACAACTCTCTAATCTCTGCACACTTGGGCAGTCATTGCAGAGTTGGGCGTGATTGTCATTTCATGAAGTTACAGAGATGGTACAACACAGACCCTTACTGGCTCCATAAATCCTGGTGTGTCAGGATAATAACATTTAAATAAAGCCAGCATTAGTGACAGATGAAACATGACAAAGCGGTTGAGCTGCCACAAACTGCAGCCATACATGGAAGATCACATGATCGCCATCAGTAGCTAAAGACGAACGCTAGATTTCTTTATCTGCTCTCAGAGGTGTTAACCTTTGATCCCGAGGCCATCACCTGCAAACAAGGCCAGGCTAATCATGGAGGGGCTTTTCACTTGGATCACAGTGTGATTCAGAGTTTATCGGTGGACAGCGAGAGGAATGCAAACAGCTCTGACTGAGTTTACATGTAGACGAGGGCAGGAATAGTGTTGTGTTGAGCTGTTATTTGCAAACAGACTATAGCTTCAGGGTATACAGTGTGCATGTTAACTGAGCCATACATTTACAGTAATGACATAGTTACATAAAGCTGTGGCAACAACAATGCCCACAGTGTACAGTAGAGGAAGTCCTGATTGACGTAACATTCTCTAGAATTAATTTTCATTTAAACAGCATTTCATAATATGTCATGCACGTCTCTATCTACCCTAGAAAGCTGTTTACGGATAGCTTATTATTACTGATGGGAGCGTTCAAACAACTGTCCAGATCTGGGACAAACAAGGTTCCATAGTGAGTCAGTCCTGAGTGTAGTGCAGCCAGTTGACTTTTTAAAGCCTGTGTACCTTGCTCAGAGTCGGTGGAGATGGTGGAGCCCATGCTGTCAGTGCGGATGCGCTCAACGGATCCGGACACAGAAAGCTGCTCCAGGCGGCGTTTGAGGTAGCGGTGCTCTCTCTGCAGTTGCTCCTTCGTGTTTAAAGCCTTCCTGTCCTGCTCCTCCAGCTTCTGCAGAGACACAGAAATGCAGAGAATCAATGATTAACATTCACTGGACCCAAACATCCCCAACTTTACTCTCTCTTTTTACCGTATACTATTTTGTTTCGTATTTGTTGTATCATTTAAATCCTAAATTTAGACTCTTTTCCACTAAAATAGTTCTTGTTCCTGAACTTATTCCGTTCAGGACTCTTGGAACCTACCAGAACCACTGTAATCAAGGATGCATCACCTACAGAGGTCACTGCACAATGCACAACTGAAGTAAACCGTAGTAGCAAGATAGTTAATCGCATTTATTACCCCCAAACTTTTGTTCTGTTTTGTCTTGTTTTATCCACAAACAAGCATGCATCAACTATTAATAAGACCACTGCATGCTCTTGTTTTCCAATGGACTGTGGCTGCGGCGGCTGTTGCTCAGAGGTAGAGCAGGTCGTCCACTAATCGGAAGATTGGCAGTTCGATACTCAGCTCCTCTAGTGCACATGTCGAAGTATCCTTAGGCAAGTTACTGAACCCCAAATTGCTCCCGTTGGCTGTTCCATCGGTGTGTGTGTGTGTGTGTGTGTGTGTGTGTGTGAGTGCGACTGAGTAGCAGGTGGCACCCTGTATGGTTGCCTTGGCCACCAGTGTGTGAAAGCGTGAATGTGACTCATGCTTTGCGTGGTCGGAACACTAGAAGAGCACTGTACTATTGTTCTACTACTGTTCTATTGTTGCCTTCTTTGTCCTCTCTTTTCGACCTGTAGAACAAGACACGCCCACTGACGTCATCACGGTTCGAAGGTCAAGGAGAACCTGCTGTTTTTTTGGTTACAGTTGGGGACCAACTTTTTCGGGTTTGGAACCAAGATATTTTTGGTCAAAATGTTCTGGACAGTTCAAAATTAGGTGCCGAACATGTTCCATGTTGGTGGAAAAGGGGCATGTGGGAATTTGTTTTCTGGATTACTTTTTCTTTCCCTTCATAATACATTTTGCAGTGCTTCTTAAATTGGGAGACTTAACATAAAAGTACTTTGGAGAAACAAAATCTGACCATTTTTGGGGCATGTAGAAATGGCACACTGCAATATCACTTTTAAAAATATATTTTATTTTAGTATTCGATATTCATACAAGAAGAATAAGTCATTGCTGCACACCGTATGCTGTGCATGTTAATAATAAAACGAAAGTAAAACATGTTTTCATAGTACAAATACTCTACGTCTGACATGTTTGGTATTCTTTATCTGTTCCGTAGTTACATAAGTTTTTTGTTCCAATGGTGATTTCTATATTAGTGCTCTACTTATTACTGGTGTTGGAAACAGTGTGTCTTTGCAAGGATTTGGATTCATGCCATATCATACAGATGCAGTTACTGATGTTATCACATAAAAATGTGAAAGCTTATGAAACCAGTGTTTTCTATCATCTCCTGTCAAACTTACAAAAGAGAGCATCTAACTACAACAACAAATTTCAACATGTAATAAGGAAGTTGGCTGAGGGACTGTGTGAGGTCTGCAGGTTAGAAAGTCAAAATAAACATAAAGTCTTGTAAAAGTTTGACTCAACGGTGGGTTTGGATTTTGCACTTATTTGAATGTGAAAGCTTTCAGTGGTGAATCAAAGCGGAGCTGAAGAACACGTGTGGCCCCCTGTGATGCGAAAAGACACAGCGCTGACGAGAATTAGTGCAGATCATCTGAGCAGAGAGGACATGCATGATAAACAGGAAATGAAGGGTTAAAACATGCCACGTCTGGATTTTCCACCAACCACAGTGTTGCTGCTTGTAAACAGCAAGATCAGTACAGCGTGTCCTTAAGTATAGATTTACAGTTCTTACTCTGCAGCACTAAGAATCTGATAATATCCTGCAACCAATCAAGTGTTTTAAGCCCTCCTCGGTCACTGCTGTTGCATACTTTTTTTTTAAAGTGTGTGTGAGTGTGTGAGTGTGTGTGTGTTTCTTAACTGCCACAACAGTTAATGAACCATGGAGGAGGAGTTGGCCTTAAACAAACCTAACGTCCAATTATCTCCGTTCACATATCTTAAGATCAGTCACCAAATGTCCTGTATATTCCACTTTGTTGACTCGTTTGTTTTTCTTTCAGTTTTGGGAGCATTTTTTTTTCCTGACAGGCCCTGAACTGCTCTGATTAAAAGATTAGAAAACAATATAGCACTTAAGGAAGGCAAGGGAGAAAAATCAAACAGCTCAGAGGTATGAGAGCATGATCACGGAGCCCCAGAGGAAGGCAAACTGGATTTTTTTGAGGAAAGTTTCATCTAGTTTTACTCTTAATTAGAGTCTTAAATGACTTGTTTTTTTTGATTAATTGATTGTGCTTTGTCTAAAAATGTCTGAAAAAGTTTTTAAAAAGCAACAGCATCTTATGCAACAGTTCAGAAACCAAAGATATTGAAGTTGCAATGATAAATTATGTGTGTGAAAGGCTATCAGATGCAACACAACCTGCCTCGAGCACTTTATTTTTATTCTGCTGTGTCTGTTTTAATACCTTGATGTGCATCTTGGCCCTTTTCAGCAAGCTCAGTGTGGTGTGTCTTGTGCTGTCTGGACCCAAAGGCACCAGCTTCTTCAACTGCTCCAAGTACAGCCGTAGTTTGGCACGTCTGCAAACACACAAGCACACAAGGGTGAGTCAGCAGACATGCACCAGCACCAGAAAAGTGAGAAGGCACCTCCACAAACACTCTGACAGGAGCTTATCCACACATCCCTGAGGGGCAGAAAAGAATACTGCTCCTCTTATAAGTGACTGTCATGTAAACATGTTCCAAAGAGGAGACTGAATACTACGCGATCTTCAGTTTCACTTGTGACTTTGGGATTGACCGTGAGACGCTGTGTGTTCAAAGGGTTGAGCTGGTGCAGGGTGTCGCTGGTTCCACGTGTTCAAAGCTCGCGGAGGCTCCAGCAAAACCACTTTTTAAATCCCTGTGAGGAAATCGCATCCTCCCAGCATGAGAAAAGAAAATCTCACATACTGATATAGTTACAAAATACTTTTTCATATCATCTGATGCAGCCAGAGTTCATGTCAGTACCTCAACATTTACATCTTTCCTCATCAACAGAGGTGTTTGCACACAGCACACCCACACACTCAAAAAGGCAAACTGGCTCTCAGCTTGGAGACTTTCCTGTTTTTAGAAAAAGCGTGCTATATTTATCAAACCCTGTCGAGCCTGACCTGCCTGTGGGTGTAAATTTGGTTGTGTACTCACAAAAACATACTATTATTAATCTATTTGCACCATACCTCAGTGCACAGGGCTCAAAATACTTTTTATGTGCACATGCACTGGTTTATGCAAGTTTAAAAACTATATGACCACATTTTTTGTACCGTAATGTACAAGTAAACTGCTTCAAAGTGAATTTAGATTGAAGCTTCTTAGTAAACATAATATGGAAACTTATTTTAATCATATAACGACAGCAGTTCCACAAGACTTATTTAACATATGATGCTGAAACAGAGTCTTTCTTTGTCCTTTTGGCCACTCCAAGTAGCATTACCGTAACAGTATGAATAGATGCGCATCAAAATCCAAATTGCAGCTGGCTTGACTGGGTTTATCATCGTGCTAATGCTGCTCCGAGTAAAAACAAGACTTCAGTGTCTTCCTTTCCTCCTTTCATGCCACGTATAAATTTGTTCTTAAAGGTGTGAGTTTCATGGTCGATGTGTGAGAGATGCTCGTCCTGCACAACATATGTTCTGTACTACGTAAACTGCATATTACGCTGACAGTTAAATGCACAGTTAAACTTTTATGTGCACTACCATGCACTATGGTTGTGTCACACTCACTTCAGTATAACTGTGCACTGTCTTATGGTGCAATGCTTTTGTGCATCAGCTGTCTATCTTGCTTTTTCCTAATCTTGTGTTTGATTGATGCACCAAATGGACTCCCTGTTGTACACTAAAGCTGCGTGACAGTCCTTAAACTCACAGTCACTGCGAACAAAAATCATTTTTGACCAAAATGACGGCCATGAGAAGTTTCTCATCTGTTCATGTCACTTTGTCGGTTGAACTCAAGGCACAAGCCGTGGCCCCGGAAAACCCTGCATCCCTGCCAAAGCCCTACAGGCCAACAACCCTGGATCCACAAGTAAACAGCTCACTGGATATAAATTCAGTGATAGTGACGACAAGGCAGCAGAGTTAATTTCTGTGTGGACACTCGCTGACTTGATACAGATAGTGTACATTATTTCAAAAGGCTGCTTTTATTCACATTTTTTTTATCAGCAGATTACCTCTCCTGTCTGTCCTTGGTTCATTCAAATTTGTTCATAAAGGCCTTTCAATCCTCCATTAGTCAAGCTAGTCCATGAACCGTTTCTTTGTTCCGAGCTAGCCATCCCCCTTCTCTCCCGTTCCTTTGGCTAACTCTGTCTGAACGGTAAACAAACTCCAACAATGCAAGGTCTCCACTGGCCATCGCTGCAACCACAATAAACCTAATCAGAGAAATGAAGCTCTCTGGGGCTGGCTGCAGAGCCGAGCACACGGGAGAACACACTCTTTACACACACACGCACATACACACAGTCTTTTCCCTGTTTCTTTTTCAGGAAGGGCGTCGCCTGTGTTTTTCACATAAAGTAAGACCCTCTCACTAGCCCCGTCTGTTTCATTTAGAGGTCAGCCAGAGGTGGCCTGCGGGTAACAAGAGAGTCTCAGGGACTAAACATAATAATCCAAAGTTGCATCTTTAATTTCTAGGGATTTGACTGTGGCTGTAAAAATGCACAGGATATTTAAATATAAAAAAATAAAGATTAGCAAAAGCGCCCTTTAAACCATCTCCACCTCTCTACAGGTGCATACAGGCGTGCTCCCCCTAAAAAAGGCCGTGTGAAAGTGCTCTCGTTCTTTTATTTCCTCCTCTCCCAGGGGGCAATTCTGCCTCCCCTTCCATCCACTGAACCCCTCCACCCCTTTGCTCCACCCTGCCAACACCAACACACCCTCATCCCACTGGAAAACAAGTGTCTTCTGAGGACAGGGGCGGGGGCCCACCTCCAACCTGCCCCAGTCGAGCCACATGAAGCACTTGGATTGCAGCCAGGGGAAGCGGGCAGGAAGGAGCTGGGGGTCTGCAGCAGAAGGGGGAGAGGAGTGGTTTTTTTTTTTTTTTTTGGAAAGGGGGAGCGGGGTCCGAGCTAGTGGGTGACTTTCTCTCGAGTTGGAAAAAAGGGCTCTTTGAATGCAGTGTGCTCAGCTGCACTAGGCAGCGCTCCACACACATCATCCAAAGGGTAACTTGAGCCAATGGGCCACCATCGTGCACCCCGCTCCCCCCTCTCTCCCTCTCTTGTAGTGAAAAACAAAAACAAGGCGTTGCCCGAATACTCTCCCTGACTACCCACCTTCCCCCCTCAAGAAAACACGTTTTTTATGGATGTATTCATGACGGGCCCTACCTGTATGCTCACCACATATTTTACCTGGCGTGCAGAGGGTAGAAATTTGCACAGATGCACTTACACCTCCTGAATGTGTGAAGATGGCTGGATTATAACCCCAGTCCGGCATGCACACATCTGACTATTCCTTCTGTTGTTTTTGTATGTCACATGACACCAAAAAAACAAATACAATTTCTCTCCCTTCATCCAAACTGCAGCTTCTGAATTGACAGCAAACTCACTCTCTGTGTAATTGTTGATAACGATCCACTTTAAATTTCTGTTTCAACAAGTCCAGGCAGAGCTTCTCTTCGTCTCAAGCCGTGCATCAAATGCTACACGTCTCCCATCTGTTTTCATCATCGCTCTGCTTATTATGATGCATATCAATAAGACAGGACCTGGTTTAACCTGGTGGTGTGTCGCTGACAGCTCCCTCCCAGCTGCACATGTTCCCCCGCTGCGAGACACACTTGTTACTTTTCTTCAAGAGCGCACAGCCGATTTGGAGCGAGAGTTAGGACCCTGCCTCACTCACGTTTGTTATTCCTAAGCCGAGCCCTGGTCACGCTATGTTTATCAGATTGCCTGCGACAGCCATGCAAAGTGTGGCACCAGATGAACGTGAGTGTTGTGTTCATGTGGGGAAGCAGACGGTTTGCATCGCCCGGCTCCACTTGGTTCTGAATCACGTCAAATTTTCCAATTTGTCCGGGCTGAAAATAGGACGGCCTTTGATATTCCATTCACGGATACTGTCACAATGTTAGACTGTTACTGTGGTGTCATGTCGAGGTTTGTGCTAATGTGTGTCAACAAGTTAAAACATAGTGCAAAAGTCAGGGTTTCAGTGTTTGAAGACACAACACAGGATATGTTTTTAAAATTCAAACACTTACTTCAAAGTGTTCAAAATTAGTAAAAATAAATCATACTGTGCATTGTTATAGTGAAACACCAGCATTTTAGTGCCGCAAGGTTTTCGTGACTTTGCTAAAACTTGCTAAAACAACAAAAACAAAACAGCCTGCAATTTCCCTGCAGCTGAGGATTTAATAGTAAATCTGCAATTTGATTTGCTCTGGAGTCACGTCTGCAGGGAAGTGACCACCTGACTGTTCTCACGTGCGGAGTACCACGGGATGATTTGTGTCTGATCTCTGCCCTTCCCCCCCCCCCCCCTCCTCCTCCTCCCTCCCTCTCCATCAGGGGCTCAGTGCCAAAACAAAGCAAAGGCAGAGAGGGGGGAGAAAAAAAAAGAAACTTTTGCTCAGAAAGCTGCACGCTGCTGAAACTGGAACAAGCTATTTAAACTGCTGACTTACGCTCCAAGGTTACCGGGTACAGGCCAGGCCTTTCTCACAGATCTGCTCACACTTAGGGCCTTGGAAGGAGAACAACCGTGAAGTATCTTGTTTTGCTGCTCGAGCAGTGTATCTGCAGCAGCCTGTTTGTATGTCTAATGGATGCATAATGAGGGATATTTACAGTATGTACACTGTGTCCACACACGTACACACACATACATACGCACTGTCCTGGTGACAGCAGTGTCCCAGGACCGTCCAGGTCTCTGGGGGTTGGAGATCCATCGGTACACAAAGAGCTGCAGGGCCTGAGAAGGCGAGCCAGTGCAAACAACGGGCCTTCACCCCTCACTCACTGCACTGTTTAATGAGCTCGCTGCAGCCCGGCGCATTCCTCAACCCATACGCACAGGACTGAGTGGCTTGTCTGGCAAGGAGCCAAACCCACTAAACTAAAGGTCAAAGGTCATCAGAAACACCACAGCGATGTTTCCTCTCAACTGCCGGAGCTGACTCAGTTTGTTCCCCATTGGGTTTAAAATAAAGAAAATGCGATAGCAGGGCCTCTGGTATTGTTTTGACTCGAGCCCACAAGACACCAGCATGAAGGATTCACCGCCTCGTCTGCTTGTCTTTTAGCAGCCATGTTAATGGGATCAGCTAACCATAAAATGCATGTATCAGTTAGGAGGGTTTGTCATGTGACACCTTCAAAATCAAGAAGCTCTTAACAGTGTTTTTAAAGACTCAAAAGATAATTCCAGCTCATCACAACTTGTTTTTATAGTCGTGTCTATCTTTCTTATCAGTATAATAATACACTAATTGCTGAGATCTGGAGGCACGGCAACACTGACAAACATTTCAGATGTGCTCAT